GTCGGGGAGGGGGGGGGGCAGCGGTGTTGCCCATGAGGCGCGGGGCACCGTGCGGCCTCCTCCCCTGTCAGTATCGCATCTTAACAAACGCCATCAATCAGCCGCCTGCCCGGCGCGGTCTCCCACCGCTCGATTGCTGCGGCGCGGACAACTCACGGAGACACACGGGCGTGCGAGCCATCATCATTATCAATCATCATTACCACCACCACCACCACCAATCATTATCATCATCATCATCGCTGACATTATTATTATTATTATATCAGCAACCGCCGACATAATAGCTAACACCATTGGTTTCATAGCCATCACTATCATCATCGTCATCAACCTCACGGTTTCTCCATGCAGGAGCGCGCTGTCGCTCGGCCTCCCGGGGTTGTCAATCACACGTCACACGCGCGCACAACTGGGGTGGGGGGTGGGGAGGAATGGTGGTTGCTCAACGATCAAAACAGTCGCTCAACAAAGACAGCTGCCGAGGGCGCGCACCTCACCGAGCGGAGACGCCGCGCGGGACGGCGGCGGTCGGCGAGAAGCAAAACGAGCGCGCTCCCGACGACGACGACGAGGAGGAGGAGGAGGCGTTGGCAAAGCGACAACTTTATTTACATTGCACGCGCGACCTGCGGTTTCTACGCGCGAGGGTTGTCGCGTCTGCTTATTGCACCGTGACCCCTTGGCGCAGCGCGTTGACCCCGGCGTTTAAGGCTGGAATGAAAGTCAGTTTCAAGAACAAGCGGTGCAATTTTTTATGGACACGTACGAAAGAACGGTAAAACTAAATAAAATAAAAAATACAGGAGTCGAGATTACGCCCAGGCGTGCACGTAGTTTACCTTCGATTTATCCAGGTCAGCCTCACTAGAGCCTCAATACTGCTCTCAAGGAGGGTCCTGCATCGGCGTGTTTATCCAATACAACGGGCTACATAAACATCTCCGCTTGAACTTGGGCGTACTACAAGTACAATAAATATGTTAATTTCCCACATTAACATAACCATCTCCACGCGCCCACTTCGTTGGGCGCACTACAAGTTGACACTTTGGCTACGCCCATCTTCAAACTTTAAAGACAGCTTGCCTTTGGGAGCTTTCACCCCTTTTTCCACTTGAAGACGATCGCTTGCGTTGCGATCGAAACGTCGTGGATGTCTTTTCGTTAATTTTCAACCTATCTACGTGACTTTACCGATAGACCCAAATAATACGGCCTATAGCGTTTGCACTCGTGCATTTTGTCCAAGACCAAGCTCGGCTATTCGCACGTTTCCTTTTTCCATGGCTCGAGTTGACGCGCCGCGCAAGTCGGAGGTCCTAGGGCGAGAGAGACTGCCGGAGCCGCGGCCCGCGAAGGAAGTCCCCAGGGGGCCACCTGGGTCGTGGCGCGCTCCCGACGGGCGAGTCTCGGGACGCGAGTCGATGCTTCATCGGCCACATTTTTCCATGCAGGGGTGCACCGATGACCCCCCCCCCCCCCCCCCGTAGCGAGCCGCGTGGGCTGTGCGGAACCCGGGCTGGGCAGCGCTGCTAAGATGCATCAAGCCATTGACTCGAACGTATCGATCGCAGCGCACAGACTTTACATAAAATACATTCATTAATCACGGTAAAGGGTCCAGTCTCGTGTTTGAAAAGTTTGCTCAAGGCATTCATCAGCCTGACTCCAATCTCTGGCCCGGTCTGTCTCTGAAGCGACTTTGGCAGGGAAAGGGAAATGCTATTGTTGGCTATTGTTGGCTAAACGAGCCTGAGGTTGCCAATAGCATGGCTGCTCGAGTAATGCTGATGAGCGATAAGCTAAATTCGATATTATTGAAACTGGAACCGTTTCTAAGTGGAAGCTAATTTGCAGAGAGCAGCTGAGCCACTTGCACCATCGCTTACTAAACATAGCAGACGTAATCAGTGTGACTCAATCACTCCACTGGCCGAAAGCATGGGCCACCTTAAGGGCATCTTCCCCTTCACATGTAATGCTGTGAATAACAAGTTAACGGGGGTGATATCCAATCACAGTGTTTTACACGATACGCCACTGGAATTTAAGCAGCACAAAGGCATTTATTCCACGTCATCTTCATTCCGTGACATCTGGATTCCCCACCGTATGCACATTTGCAATGACAGAATCAAGTGCAGCTGGGCTTGATGCGCGCGCACCCGCTGACAGACGAGCAGCCCTGGTCAATTCAGGGAACACGCGAGCGAGGCGACAGGGCTCGTCGTTGTCCATGCGCGTTGTGGTGACGACCCACAAGGGGGTTGGTGCGTAGTGGCAGAGGAAGATGACGTTAGAGGGGTGGAGTGTGGACGTGGTGGATGCGGTGGTGCTTCGTGTGAGACAAGAATTGGGGCAGTGCCGGATTAAGCTAGTGCGGGGCCTGGAGCATATGTTACAATAAATAAATACGTAAATATTAAAACACAAATGTTTTACTTACATAGTAAAGTAATTGTATTTCATTTGCTATACAGCCAGATAATACGACGAATCGCTAACCTTAAAAACCCAGTCGTTCATAAAAGTCTAAGGCGGTATAGTACTATAGTAATAGAGCAAGTGCAGAATCACTGAACCGGAATTTATATCTTGAAAGCATTTAGCGCGGGGCCCTTGAAAGTGCGGGGCCCACAGCATTATGTAGCTACTGTTGCTCCTCGGGTAATCCGGCACTGGATGGGGGGAGCGTGGAATGCAACGGTTAGCGCGCTGCGAACCCGACCACCCGAGTTCGATTCCCGCTCACGGCCAACGCCACCAGTGATGATTATCTGAAACGGTCCTGGGTCTCACCTAGGTTGACTCGGCCTCAAATTAGCACCTGGTGCGGTGTGTAAACATCGTCACTGGGAAGACAAAGGCGTCCGGGCGTAGTGCTATCCACCCACCCCTTCGTGTGCCATCCCCAGCCTGCATAGGTGCTCTCTAACAGCACTTGCCCCCAAACAGTCTGTTAAGGCTATACGGGGGATCTTTGTCTTTGGTGGGTGTTGTCGTGATGGATGTGGTGGTACCAGATGTGTTGGGATAGAGATCGGTGGAGACGGTGGCTGTGGTTATTTTATTTGTTCCACTCACAATCCCGTGTCGCCAATTTCTCGGCTATTTTGCAAGTGAGATCCGTGGCACGTGAGCACAGAAACAACAACAGAAAGGCTAAAGAAAAACATCAATACGTCATTTTGCACAACTAAGAAACGAGGCATTTAACGGTCATAAACGAAACACGCGTGCATGCAAAAAAAAGCACAGTGCAAATAAAACGTGAGAGCAAGAGGCGCCATAAATGGTTAGGTGCACGGTGCAAGTATAACGGTGTATGTAAACGAGTAATCGATGCTGTGAGGTGGTGGATTCGTGGTTGTGCTGGTGACTGTGGTGGATGGGAGCAAAAAGCCCATTGTAAAGCAGATGCTGATGAGTGCACATGGTGTGAGTCACGATGTGCACGTGCAGTCGCGCACAAAGTGGAAACAAAACTGCTTTGCATGCAAATGCGTTGGGGCCACTTTGATCAAAACGTTTACGTGAGGCGAGGTCATATTTGCCACGTTTGTGGACACATCGTTTTTTTTTTTTAAACTGCTGTTGTTGCATTACTGGTAAACGCAGGCAACACGGTAAAAGGAATCGGTTACCGGTTTTCCACATTGAAATGTCTCCAGCAGGGGTCGACAACTAAAAAAACACAAGAAGAGACATTTTTTTCGAATTCGGTAAACAAACCCCGCCCCCCCCCCTCTTTCAAGAGCCACAATGCAATGTGTGGCGAATACGAGACGAGACAGGGGTTCTGAAAGAGCGGCATGCGGGTCCGAAGCCGCAGGTTGCCGACCCCTGGCCTAGAGCAATACGCACAAACAATCTTGATTTGAAGCTTTCGTGACTGCAGGAATCCGTACTCTCTGTTTCTTCTTTCGGTAAAGTCACGTAGGTAGAAATATCTTATTTGATTTCTACCTACGTGACTTTACCGAAAGAGCCAAAGAGTACGCACAAACAAGTTCACCTTTGTGGCTGTGAAACGACGTCAGCTGCTGTGGTGGTGTAGTGGGTTGACAAACGCGGCTTTTAATCCCGAGGACCGCCGCTGAGATCTCCCCACGCCGCAGTAGAGACGATGCTTCTTAAATCTGCCCGCCTCTGTCGACCCGGCAGTTAAGTTGGTTCAGTAGCGTACACCACAGTTACATCGATCGACAGGCTTCGCGTGGTGGGGCAAACTGCGGTGTATGTCCACCTCTTCCTACGAAAATTGCACTGGAATCGATTGCCAATGATTGTGTTTTATCAATCGGTGATCTATTCCCGGTAAACGTGACGTTTTGGGTCAACATTGGAGTGTGGTAAGAATCGTTGGACCCACCTGGGCCCAACGTTGAATCAAAGTTCCACGTTTACTGGGTTCATACTCTTTGGGTCTTTCGGTAAAGTCACGTAGATAGAAAAAAAATCACGACGTGTCGATCGCAACACAAGCAATCGTCTTCAGGTGAAACAATACAGCAGGCGGACTGCTGAGGCAGGAAGAAATGTAGCGAAAGAGCTACTGCAGCCAAAGGTTATATACGTTTGAGATGGGTACAACCCAAGGGTAAGCGGGCAGCGCTATAGATGGAATTTGCAAGTAAATGTAAGATCGCAGAGCTAGGCATAACTCGGCTAATCATGTATTTTTCACGTTTAAAAAACGTCTATTTTTCACCTGAAGACGATTGCTTGTGTTGCGATCGAAACGTCGTGATTTTATTTTAATATTTTTTCTATCTACGTGACTTTACCGAAATACCCAAAGAGGATGAATTCCTGCAGTCGCGAAAGCTTTAAGTCAAGTTTACTGGGTTTTTAAAACGAGAATCGCTTAACGGATAAAATAAGATTAACAACCCTAGTTTTTAACTTGGTTTTACATGGACATTTTAGTCATGCTTGCCGCATTGAACCGGGTCATTCACCTCTAATGTAATAAAGATTCACAAGACAATCACAAAACGGGGTGGTCGAGAGCGACCTCGGCGCAGAATCTCGAGTCAAGCGACTTCGACAAAGAGTCGCGCGCTACCAAGGGCCTTCACCTACATTCGAATCTCGGTCGCTCAACCCCCCGAGCTCCGTGCCTTGACCCGAGGCTAAAAAGGTGCCCAGACCCCACTACGCCGAGCCACTCCCGGCCCCGCTACGGCGTCGAGGAACTTTTGACGAAACGTGGCGTCAGGTTTAGTTACAGGTTGCCGATAGCCCAGTAACCGTGGGACGTTCGGCTAATGTTGAGCAAACGTTGGCCTGTTTGGGGGGGGAGGGGGTGGAGGTGAATCGTCTCAGTCACATTTACATGGTTTTACAAATTGCACCACGCTTAAATGTCCTCTTTAACCGGTGGAGCCCGGCGAGATTCGCGAGCTACGTTTCACGGCGCGGTCCATTGTAGTTGCATGCAATATTCATGCAGTTGCATGTAATATTCATGCAGTTATGTGCAACGTTACAGTGTGCGGGCACCGGGAGTTTGTGTAACGCGCTCGTACTCCGTGGCGTTTCTCTCTCGTTTTACGCGACTCCCCCGGGCTCGTGGATCCGAGTCGCACTCGGCTCTAGCACTCGAACCGCGTCGTGGAGTGTGGGGGACACCATCGACGTTGCCTGGCGACCGTCGAAGTGGGAGCGGGCGGCCGGGCCCTCGTTCCGAGCGGTCTTCACTGTACGCGCTAACCCGGCCGAGGACACGGGGATACACAGAACACGCGCCGCTGTCCGTCAAAGCTGTCTCGACGCGAGCTCAAGTTCGGCTGGGACCCTCTTTGCTAATTAAGTTTATGCAGCGTGACTGCAAGCTATCCAAAAGCCGCTTACGCGCGATACATTACCAGCGAATTATTTCCGCCCGTCGATACCGACGTGCGTGCAAGACGCAGCATTCGCGTGTGCAATCGATTGAGCGACATGCTATGCCTAAGCAGGACTCGCTGACCGCCAAATGCATTAACACCACACACGAGCACACGCATGCATTCCCCACCGAGTGTTTTCAAGCACGAGTTGGTTTCGAGGGCTGAGCAAACGCCGCGAGCGCTGTCCGTGGTGCTGAAGAGGGCGGCTGCTGCCGCCGCTGCTGCTGAGCCGCTGTCCCGCGGTGCCTCGAGAGGCTGTTCCTGAGGAGCGCTCTCCGTGGTGCTTGAAGAGGGCTGCCGCTTGCTGCTGCTGCTGCTTGCTGGCTGCGGCGCTCAGCCCGTGGAGCTGAAGAGTCGCCGTGCGGCCATCGCAGCCCCGTGCCGCTCCGCCCGCTGAGCGGTCGCGACTGGGGAATGCGTTTCAAGCGCCTCCCTTGACGCCGACAATGCGCACCGCGGTCGCGCCTCTGCTGCTGCTGCTCCTGCTGCTGCTGGTCGCGAGCCGGGCCGCGGCACAGGGCCTCTTCCCGCGCCTGGAAAACGTGGCTGCCTTCAGGCCGGTGAGGCTAACGCCGCCGGGCGCGACCTGCGGCCTCTCGGGCACGACCACATTTTGCTTCCCCAGTCCCGGCCCCGATCAGGGAGGAGCCCCGGTGTGCAGGCCGGCCCTGTGCGCCAACGCCTGCCCGCACCACGCCACAACGCCGCCGCACTCTACGCTGGGCTCGCGCTCGTGGGCGACCGAGCCCGGGGCTTGCGCAGCGGTCGATCCGGGGCAGGGGGCGGCCGGCGCTGCCGCGGGAGAGCCGGTGCTACGGTTCGCCGAGCGCAGCGACTGCCTCGCGACTCTGCCGAGCGAGTCCCTGGGACCCGAGGCCTCGTTCACCGTCGCCGTTTGGCTCCGGAAGGAGGGGAGCGGCCTGGCGTGAGTAACAGGGGTCCGCGGTGCGTTGGCGCAACACGTGTAAGGGGGGGGGGGGGGGGGGTGTGGGGTGGTGGTGGTGAGGCATTACTCGGTAGTTGCCGCGCAAGTTTTGAGGTCGCTTTGAAGTTGTCAGCGGTCGAACGCAGCGACAACACGTGGCTCGGCTGCGCGCAGCAACAGGTGCTGCTCCGCTCGCTCGCGATTCGCGAATGTCCATTACGGTGGCGCGCGACTCGCTTCAGAGTGAATCTCGTGGCCTGTGCACCACCACCCACCACCTCTGTCGTACACGGATATCTTGTAAAGGTGACGAACTGTCGTGCACGACGCGGTTGGGTCGAGTTGCGCGTTCGCCTTCAACGTTCACTGGTGGTGGGGTGGTGGTCGCCTTGCGCGGCCCTTGCAGGCGAGGCCTACGCTATTGCGCACCGATTACACGCGGACAGGAGCGGTACTGGACTACCCTAGGAGCAACAGTAGCTACATATGCTACGAAGCCTCGCACTTTCAAACTATCAATTCCGGTTCAGTGATTCTGCACTTGCTCTATTACTATACCGCCTTCAACTTTTATGAACGACTGGGTGTTTAAGGTTATCGATTTGTCGTATTAACTGGCCGTGCGGCAAATGAAAAAATACAATAACTTTACTATGCAAGTAAAAAATTGCGTGTTTTAATATGTAAGTGTTTTAATATGTAATTTAGAGCCCCTTTATAACATATGCTACGGGCCCCGCACTAGCTTATTACGGCACTGAACGTGTGTGCAGAGCACGCAGCAGCAGCAGCACACGTTACATCGCCTTGCCCGTTTAAACGAAACGATATTGTTTGCGGAACGGTCGGTGAGACCAGGACCATCATCGAGAAGGCCACGGAGGGGCGGACTGTGTTCAAGTTGGAGGTGGCGCCCGATGAGGTCAGGTTTCACTACCGCACGGCGGATAGTCTGCAGCAGGGCACTCTTGTCATCAACGCCACGGGCAAGTTCCCCCCGGGCCGCTGGACTCACCTCACTCTGCAGGTGCGCGTGCACCTCTCAGTGGCTTGTGGTGGTGTGTGTGTGGGTGCCTCTGCACGTGTCTGTGTGTATGTGTCTGTGTGTACGTGTCTGTGTGGGGAGCGGTGGTGTAGCGGTTAGCGCGCTGCGCTATGAACCTGGCGACTCGGGTTCGATTCCCGCTCACGGCCAACACCGGTGACGATTATCTGAACCGGTCCCGGGCCTCGCCTAGGTCGACTCAGCCTCAAATGAGTACCTGGTGCGGTGTGTAAACATTGGCACTAGGGAGACAAAGGCGGTCGGGCGTGGTGCTGGCCACCCACTCCCTCGTGTACCGATCCGGTCTTCATAGGTGCTCACTAACAGCACTTGCCCCCTACAGTCTGTTAAGGCTATATGGGGGATCTTTTTTATCTTTGTGTGTACGTGTATGTGTGTCCCTCTGTGTTTACGTGTCTGTGTGTCCCTCTGTGTGTACGTGTCTTTGTGTATGTGTGTCCCTCTGTGTTTACGTGTCTGTGTGATCCTCTGGGTGTACATGTCTTTGTGTATGTGTGTCCCTCTGTGTTTACGTGTCTGTGTGATCCTCTGGGTGTACGTGTCTGTGTGTACGTGTCTGTGTGTCCCTCTTGTGTGTACGTGTTTGTGTCTGTGTGTACGTGTCTGTGTGTCCCTCTGTGTGTACGTGTCTTTGTGTACGTGTATGTGTGTCCCTTTGTGTTTACGTGTCTGTGTGTACGTGTCTGTGTCCCTCTGTGTGTACGTGTCTGTGTGTACGAGTCTGTGTGTCCCTTTGTGTTTACGTGTCTGTGTGTCCCTCTGTGTGTACGTGTCTGTGTGTACGAGTCTGTGTGTCCCTCTGTGTTTACGTGTCTGTGTGTCCCTCTGTGTGTACGTGTCTGTGTGTACGAGTCTGTGTGTCCCTTTGTGTTTACGTGTCTGTGTGTACGTGTCTGTGTCCCTCTGTGTGTACGTGTCTGTGTGTACGAGTCTGTGTGTCCCTTTGTGTTTACGTGTCTGTGTTTACGTGTCTGTGTGTCCCTCTGTGTGTACGTGTCTTTGTGTATGTGTGTCCCTCTGTGTTTACGTGTCTGTGTGTCCCTCTGTGTGTACGTGTCTGTGTGTACGAGTCTGTGTGTCCCTTTGTGTTTACGTGTCTGTGTGTACGTGTCTGTGTCCCTCTGTGTGTACGTGTCTGTGTGTACGAGTCTGTGTGTCCCTTTGTGTTTACGTGTCTGTGTTTACGTGTCTGTGTGTCCCTCTTGTGTGTACGTGTTTGTGTCTGTGTGTACGTGTCTGTGTGCGTGCATTTGTGGATGTGCCTTTAAGGTGCGCACAGCCCACACGCGAGCGCCGTGGTGACATCAACGGAACGGCGGCTGTCGTCTCTCCGTGTGTCTGTGGGGTGCGCTAGTCAGAGCCCTCCCTAGGGAATCGGGGCGACCGCCCTGGGCCCCTTGCTTTGTTGGGGGGGGGGGGCGCTTCGATGTTACGTTGTCAGATGCAATACTTCCGGTTTAGTTTGAAGAGCGTCAGTCGAGATTTGCCCCGGTGACCGGCATCCCTCTGGGCACCGTGCTGGCAGTAGTTGGCAGTGGTTAGCTCACTGCGCTATGAAACCGGCGACCCGAGTTCTATTCCCGCTCACGGCCAACACCAGTGACGATGATTATCTGAAACACTCCTGGGCCTCCCCTCGGTCGACTCGGCCTCAAACTGGTACCTGGTGCAATGTGTATGCATCAACACTGGGGAGACAAAGGCGGCCGGGCGGGTTGCTGGCCACCCACCCCTTAATGTGCCGTGCCTTCCTTCAAAGGTGCTCGCTCACAGCAGCTCCTGGATGCAGTCTGCTGTTGAACAAATGGGTGAAGAGCAGAGGGCATTTAGTTTGGGACAATACTAGGCACAGTGTGTTTCGATCCAGTAGAGGAGTCATATTTGCATGCTATGAGTAGGACCCTGAGTAGGACTAATAGCTGCATTCTTGGAGACGCTGATGTTTTAAGTGAAAATCTGCAGCCCCGGTCAAAAAACGATTGCAATGGTCAAGCCTCGAGTAAAATGATTTGATGAATCAACGAGCAAACTGTTGCATATATTCGAGAAAGTTGGGTTTCATGGCAAGAGAACCATATACGGAGTATAAAATACAACTCCGCAAACCATTGATCGCGTAACCATTGTGATCCATGCAGTCGATACAAATGTTTAAGGAGAAATAATCATTATTAACCAATTCTTAAACTGTATCAAAAGCGAAGGCAAGGTTATAAGTGGTATCACTAATGTCGTGAAGCATTGATAGTATAAATGTTGTCTGCATAATTAAATATATAAGTCTTAATGCCTGAGTAGGACTAATATTATTAGTACTACTCAACATCAGCCTCTCCAAGATGCAGCTATTAGTCCTACTAAGGTATTAGTCCTACTCAGGTATTAAGACATATATTTAATTATGCAGACAACATTTAGACTATCAATGCTTCACGACATTAGTCCTGAGTAGGACTAATAGCTGCATCTTGGAGGCGCTGATGTTTTAAGTAGAAATCTGTAGCCCCGGTCAAATATATAAGACTATATATATATTGTGATTGTGTTCACCATGCCCAGGCATTGCATTTGTAACCAAACGTTTTATTGTTAAATGTGATTCTGCACCTTGATTACGTTTTGTACAACATGGGGACGATGTGCCACCTGACAGGTTTGTTGTGGAGATAAGATGGTAACAAGGAGTCTGGCCGCAGGTGTCTTGGCGTCCTTGCTGTATAGACCTGTCCTGGGTGTAACTCTATAGACGCGATAGGGTTGCTGGCAAAGTAATTGCACGGAGTGATATGGCCCTGCTAGGAACATGCCTGCAGACAGATGATACCATCTGGAACCTCCCTGCTCTGCACAGATCCTCATGCCGTGCTTAAATTTAAGCGGCCTCTTTGTTTTGTAATGTAAATACCAGAATGTATTACGTGTCCTTTTGCTGGTTTCTAAAGTCAAGTTACTCACGTGCTGTCAACAAATGGCTATCGACACCCATGTTCATAAATCAGCTGTGGGTCCATGGGAGAAATGCATAGACGTATTTTGGTTCGAAACGGCACAGAGACACAAAGAACCGGGTTACACATTGTCCAAATGACTGACGCATACGAGCTTAATCGTAGCGATCCCCAGCTGTGATCTCGGGAATGAGGGAGACAGGATAGAGGAAGAGAGAGATATGGAGAAGAGTACGGGTAAACAGAGCGAGGAAAAGGAGGGCAAGAGATGACGGGCAGAAAAAAATGCCACGGGGGGAAGAGACCCTAAAGTTTTCGAACGCATGCGTACACTTTCAACTGCGGTGGCTAATTTTTTAAACTCGACAGAAGCGCGCGTCGAAAAGTTAAGAAGGGACCGGCACGTTTTGTTACGGTGCGTGCCATCGTGACTGTCATCTCCGTGTCACTCTATGGGAGATGTGATGCTTCAGGGTTGCGTGCTATGGGGTTGCGTGCTATGGGGTTGCGTGCTATGGGGTTGCGTGCTATGGGGTTGCGTGCTATGGGGTTGCGTGCTATGGGGTTGCGTGCTTCTGGCTTGCGCGAGTCGGGGTTGCACGTGTTTGGGTTGCGTGCTGTGGGGTTGCGTGTATCTGGGTTGCGCGGGTTGCGGTTGTGCGGGTTGGGGTTGTGCGGGTTGGGGTTGTGCGGGTTGAGGTTGTGCGGGTTGGGGTTGTGCGGGTTGGGGTTGTGCGGGTTGGGGTTGTGTGGGTTGGGGTTGTGTGGGTTGGGGTTGCGTGTTTGGGGTTGCGAGCGTTGTTGTGCTCCGTGAGAGAGACGAGTTGGGAAGTCACCGTCCGTCTCGCCTCGCTGGTGTCGCTCCGCAGTGCTGCTCCCCGCTCTGACAGGGTTTGCCGGACAGGCTGCAGAGCGGGCCCCGTAATTCTTACGTTTGTCTCCCGGCGGTTGTTCTTGGTGGCGCGTAAATGTCAATCGTGGCCCGATTTGTTCTTTTTTTTTCCATCTCATAAGTGCTGGGGAGTTTCCATGGAGATAATAGTAGGCCGCGCTGAGGAAACCGGCGTGAAGCTGCCTTAAGCACATTTTCTGTGACTGTCAAACACAGAAGATCTCTTCCTCTGGAGGAAAGGGTAAAACAAAAAATAAAAAAGAGACGTCGTAATGAGTGTGAGGCGCAATTTGGGACGGTTGAATGTTTGTCTCGAGCGCAGAGTGGGAACGAGTGAAAGATGAGTGCCAGGAGGCTTTTGGGAGAGGAGCTGAATGAGAGTGATTTGAATAACATACTGCAATAGCACACGGATTTAATAGAACACAGTGGAGTGGTCGCAAAATGAAAGGCCTTTTTTCACATAAACAGCTCAGGCTGTTGTAGAAGATCAAATACATGTTCTGTTTTGCATTTCTCATACGTTGATTTCTGCTAATGCATTCTTGTTCAGTAAATACATTGCCTTGACTTGACTGTCCCGTGCATCTGTGACCGGACAAAACGCACGAGCGGCTACCGGATTCTCCTGCAGCTGTCCCATCTGGCTGGCTGGGGAGCCACCAACAGCACCGATAAGTGCGGGACAAAGAGGCCCACCGTGCGGACGTCTGCACGGTTCTCGCGGACCCTGCGCTCGTGCGCGGTGGTGAAGCTGCAGCACGGCCACCGCCGACGACGTGAACGTGAACCGTTCCCCATCGCCGTCGCGCGGGCGCGCGCGCGCGAGGCTTTTGTTGTCCGCGAGCCAGCGGCACGGTGGCGATTGTCTTCGTTGTGCGCGGCGAAACGAACGCAGGTGCAGGGTGCGCGACTCGGCACCTTCATTAACGGGCCCGAGGAGGATGGTTCGGCGTTCCACGCGGCGCTCCTCGCGGGCCCTGTCGCCGACGCCGCACGGCGCGCCGAGCTCAGCGTTGGCCGGGACGTGCACGGTGCGTGGCAGCGTCGGCCCCCTCCACGGCGCCACGGCGTCACGGCCACGACCCTCACCGTGGGGAGACTTGCGCTGCCTGCGTAGTCCTCTGAACCCGTTGCGTTTTTTTTTGTCGACAGGTGCCGGTCGGTTTGTGGGACTGGTGCAGGACCTCCGCTTCTACAGGGCCGCCCTCACTAACAGGTTTGTAGGACTGGTGCAGGACCTCCGTTTATACAGGGCCGCCCTCACTAACAGGTTTGTAGGACTGGTGCAGGGCCTCCGCTTATACAGGGCCGCCCTCACTAACAGGTTTGTAGGACTGGTGCAGGACCTCCGCTTCTCCAGGGCCGCCCTCACTAACAGGTTTGTAGGACTGGTGCAGGACCTCCGCTTATACAGGGCCGCCCTCACTAACAGGTTTGTAGGACTGGTGCAAGGCCTCCGCTTATACAGGGCCGCCCTCACTAACAGGTTTGTAGGACTGGTGCAGGACCTCCGCTTCTCCAGGGCCGCCCTCACTAACAGGTTTGTAGGACTGGTGCAGGACCTCCGCTTCTACAGGGCCGCCCTCACTAACAGGTTTGTAGGACTGGTGCAGGGCCTCCGCTTATACAGGGCCGCCCTCACTAACAGGTTTGTAGGACTGGTGCAGGACCTCCGCTTCTCCAGGGCCGCCCTCACTAACAGGTTTGTAGGACTGGTGCAGGACCTCCGCTTCTACAGGGCCGCCCTCACTAACAGGTTTGTAGGACTGGTGCAGGGCCTCCGCTTCTACGTGGTCGCCCTCGCTAACAGGTTTGTAGGACTGGTGCAGGACCTCCGCTTCTACAGGGCCGCCCTCGCTAACAGGTTTGTAGGACTGGTGCAGGACCTCCGCTTCTACAGGGTCGCCCTCACTAACAGGTGCTCGCGACCTTCCCGACTTCAGCGTTCCATCGCAGTGCGGGGTGGCACGCTCGGAGCGCCTTTGATCGCGCGTCGGGAGGAGAGAAATATGCGAGAAATAAACAAGGCGCACATTTCGGCTCTAATCTGGGGAGTATTCAGATCTGATATGCGCAACTGCGCATCAATCCTTGGAGAATGCCAGTGAAAATACGGCTGGGAAACTTTGCAATCTGAAATATCAATGATACCATTCAACTGCGGGTGTAGATGAATGTTGTAAATCTGATGCTGTCAATCGCGGAATGGCAGCGGAGTTATGTAATGTGCTGAAGCAGCACGGTGCGCACATGTGCCCTGGCGTGCTGTTTATCACAGGAACGCTGCCAAGGGCTGCTCTGTGCCACCACGTGCACACGTGCCAGAGGCTACAGCAAGTTTCCTTGATTTATCGGTTTAAATTCAGGTTGTTACGGGTGCTCTTAATTGTTTATACGTATTCATGTGGGCTGTCCCTTTTGTAATGCTGAGAGAAACGGCTGCCCAGAGAAGTGGTCGTGTGTCATTAACGGACGTGGAAGATTAAACAACAACAACAACATAATCATCACCTCGGCACTGATGTCGTGGTCCCCGCAGTGTGCTGAGTGTAGGGGCACACGTGTGCTTTAATGTGCTCCACCTGGGCATCATTGGCGATGTGAGCTATTGGCCAAAAGTTCCACAAATGAGGCACGTGATTAACTTGTCTGTTTGCTATTGCAAGCGGTACTTTAAGTCATCAATAATTCATGAGCTGCACAGAGAAATTACTTGACAAAGCTCCGTGGTTTCTCGTGCTGCGTGGAGTGTGCTCGTGTGTCTGTTCGCCCAATGCTCGTGTACCCACGTGTCCACGTGTCCATATTTCCTGCACATTGTGTCATGCCACATGTGCACGTGTACACATATGGGCATGTGTCCGTGCACCAGCCTGTTGGGGAGCGGCGGTGCAGCGGTTAGCACACTGCGCTACAAACCCGGCGACCCGGGTTCGATTCCCGCTCTACCGCCAACACCAGTGACGATTATCTGAACCGGTTGTGGGCCTCCCAAATGAGTACCTGGTGCGGTGTGTAAACATCGCCACTGGAGAGACAAAGGCGGTCGGGCGTGGTGCTGGCCACTCACCCCCCTCGTATACCGTTCCGGCCTTCATAGGTGCTAGCTAACAGCACTTGCCCTTACAGTCTGTTAAGGCTATACGGGGGATCTTTTTTATCTTTGTCATATCCACACGTGTCCACGTTTCACTGTGTCTGTGCGCTCATGCGTTTATGTGCTAGTGCATCTGTGTGTCCTTGTGCCCGTGGAACCGTGTGCCAGTGTGTTCATATACCCGTGCATACCGTGTTTTATATAAATGTGTGTGTGTATATAATCCACGTGCCTGCGTGTCCATGCGCGCACGCGTCCGTGTGCCCGACGGTCACAGGGAGGTGGCGGAGCTGCTGACGGGCCGATTGCCCCCGCTGCACGTCCAGTCCGAGTGCCGCTGCCCCGGCAGCCACCCCCGAGTGTCGCCGCTCCACCAGCGCTACTGCGTGCGCAACGGGGCGAGCGCGGCCACCCACGACGACCGCGTGCCGCGCGTCAGCCCCCACGCGCGGCCCCTCTCCCACGTCAACGACGACGACGCGAGCACCGTCTGGGTGTCGGCGCCGTCGCCCGGCCCCGGGCAACCGCCGCCCAGCGTGGCCGTCTCCATCGAGCTTCGGGGCGGCTCCTATCAGGCAATGTGCTCGCCGTGGTTGAGGCATGACGTGCTGGGGCCCGTTTAGGATGGGAATTGGATTTAGACTCGGAGGAATCCGATGAGCTATAAAGCTCTTTTTTTCGATTTAAAGCTTTCGTGACTGCAAGGATTCATCTTCTTTGGTTCTTTCGGTAAAGTCACGTGACCAGTCACAAGCTAATCCCTCAGCTATTTGATATGTAAACCCCTTTGTCAAGGTGCCTCACTTCTCCCAACCAGCTTAAAAGTCGCTACGAATCTTAACATCGTTCATTGAAGCTCTGTCGTCCCGACAGTTCTGTACCTTTCACCTGAAGACGGCCGCTTGCGTTGTGGCCGAAACGTCGTGAGAATTTTATTGTGTTATTTTATTATTTTATTCTCATTCTACGTGACTTTACCGAATGAACCAAAGAAGATTAGCTCTTTTTTTATTTACTACAGATGTTCAGTAGGAACGTGCGTTTTGAGCCGCTTGCGTTGAGCTACCATTTGTGGCCAGGTCGCTTCTGAAAAAAACAGCTACATAGCTCAGTGGGCCTTACCTGGTAAAATTAAATAAAAAAAACCTGTTTAGTAGTTTAAATAGTTTAGTTTTGTAGTGAGCTGTGTCATTGCATTGCGACAGAGCTGCCTCTTGCACTGGGTTAATTCCCCTCCGTTAAATTAGTTATTTTTTTAAATAACAGCGGCCAACCTATTCAAAGGCACCCACGGTGAGAATATTTAATAAGTTTCTACCACTGGCTCAGGGCCGCCAATTGAGTCGCGCCCTCCGTCATACACTCATTCGAGCTCGGCGACACCTCAGCTTCAGTGAGTGGCTGGCTTATAAACATAGCGTGCAGTGAAAGATACACCGGAGTCACGTTGTCACTCGGCACTGAGGTTTGTCTTTACTCCCCTAGGTCTTTTACGTCATCGTTCAGTTCCTGAGCCCCCAGCCCGAGGGCGTGAGGATCCAGAGGAGGCCTGCGGCCGGCTCGCCGTGGGTCGACTGGCAGGTTTTTGCCAAAGACTGTGTTAGCATGTACAACATGAGCAAAAACGGGCCCTTGGAGAAGCCCGACTCCGTTAATTGCCTGCAATTTCCCAGGTGATTGGGCTGCGGCTCATGCAAATAGCCCCACAAAGTGTGTTTCTGCCTCATAAACATACTAATCGATGCAGTTGCCATGGCAGCAGGATTTGAAATGTCACTGACACTAGCGGTGCTTTGACAATTCGTGACATAGTAATTAATGAAGGGACTGATGCAATGGGTAATCGCTGATTATGGCGGGGCTGATAACACCGTGACATTTTTGTTTGGACTCCCCTGGGCTGCAACCCCAATTTACTCATGATATTTTGAAATGATAATGGAGAATTGCTAATTTGCCTCCAAACTGATCCAAGTGGAAAAAAAATAAAACTTAATGTTGACTCGGTTGTCACAACACTTGGAAATGTCTCTCAGATTCACACTTTTCCCCAGCAAGGGCCACTATCAGGTGCACACTGGGCCGGCACCTGGAAGCCTTGCCGAGCCATTCCCAATGCGCATGGCAACTGCAGATTAAGTGCCACCTGATTTGTGCGTAATTGCTTTATGCCACGGTGTTGCGTAAGTTTAAACATTAAATCTATACAATGGCTTTTCAGTTCTTGCACATTTTACAGCCCTTTGTCGGTCCACTGCTGGATGAGAGCCTTCCCATGCTGTGAGGGTCATGGGGGTTAGTTGACCATACTTCACCACGTTGGTTTGTGAATGCGGGGAGTATAGACGTGGAATCATAGTACAGTACAATATTTTATTTTGCTGCATGCACTCTGCTGCCCACCGCATAGAGAGGTCAACGCTCAAATCACACAAAGACATGTACGCACACACACACTCTCACAAAGTATACGCGACCTCCGTGAATCGGACACGTTTGAAAAATGGAATTCCACCATCCATCGCTGGCAGGGAGGTACCGCTGTCCAGGGGAAACGTGACGTTCAGCGTCCTCACTCCGGAGCCAAACCTCCGGCCGGGCTACAACGCCTTCTACGCCACGCCGGCGCTGCAGGCCTTCGTGCTAGCGGCGGAGGTGCGCGTGCTGTTGGAGGGACGGCTCCTCGGTGTAGCGGGGGTGGCAGGCGGGCCCCTGCGTCCCTACCACGCCGTGTCCGAGGTGATCGTCAGCGGAAGGTGCGTGTCATCACGAGGGGAGGGAGGCATGCTACGTAACATTCCGTTTTATCTGCTCGATGTGTGCGCGTGTGTGTGTGTGTGCGGCAGAGACCTGAGCATTTCAGATTTTTGTAAGCTTTGGCAGGATTTTGATTTTTCTTTTATCTGGGAATGGCCAACTTTTGCACGTCAAGCTCTTTGACTGATGTTTCTCTGATAAGGGATGACAGTTATTGCGTGGCTGTCCCGTGTTCGCACTGCACGTGGCTGGGCTGCCACGTGCCGTGAAGAGCAACTCCTGAGCATCAGCTGCTGGCAGAAGGAAGGAGCTTTTGTAGCGGTGGCTTCTTGTGCCACAACGCCACTACCCTGTGCCAAACTGCTACAAGGCAGTAATCGGCAGATGGATATCGCCATATATTTGTGTATGCAATCCAGTGTTTGTAGAAAAGGAGGACGGTGGAATTATTTACGTGAAAGTATGTGCTGTGAAGAAGGCACATTGCTCTAAACGTTGCACGTTATATATTGTTTTAAGGCCGCAGTGTTATTTGACGAATGTGTTGAGTTTGTGTTGTTGTAATTTGTGCCTGTGCACGACTGCCAATGCAGCATCACGAAATAATGTGTCTTTTTTATTTAAATGTAATGCACAAGACGTGGTGGACATTTCACTTTGTAAGGTGTAGGTCCCTCGGAAGTCACACATACAAGCAAGTGTTCATTTAAAAAGGTCAGAAATGGGCTTTTGTTGTCTTGCCAAAATAGGCCGAGTTTATATGACAACACATTTTTTTCTTATAATTTATTTTAATTAACATGCGCACTATCTACGGTTCCACACAGTGTAATGACAATATCATAACTCTTAAATACATTATGGGACGCAGTCGTGATAACAACAATAATAATAATATGTGCAACTTCTGAGTGATGCGGTCTTGTGTGTCATCTGCAGCGCATGCGCATAAATCCGTGCGCGAGGTATTAATTCTTTTAAGCAAGAAACAAATTGCTAACCTTGAACAAATCAGCTGGTAAATGACATGTAATAAAAGTGTTCTTCCCTTTGTAGACTCTCATGTTTATATATCATCATAAGGATGTCAGTTTTATAATTGCAGCCATGAAGACGGCATCTGTGAACGTGTGTGGCACTCACAGATGTCTTTTTAAAAAACTGTTTAGGTTTCCTGGTCGTTAATGCATCTTTCCAGCTGGGCTACGAGCCGGAGCAGAGAAGCATGAGAACGTGTCGTTTGTTTAATCAATGTGACATTCATCCTTGAGTGCTTTGCTATGTTATTCTAAATGTTGTCGCGAACACAGCTATCGCCGGAGATTTAAACGACAGTGCGGCTCAACCTGATTCATTCGCTTGTTAATTTACAGCGCCGTGCGGACGGCAAGGATCGCTGACAGGTGTAAGTGCTGAGATCGCTGCTTGCTTTGCTGCAATTCTTTTTTTTTTGTTCACGACAAACTTTGGTGTGAAACTCATTAATTATAAATTACACTGCATTCATACTCCAAGTGGCCATTATGGAAACTAGTTTCATTCAGATTTAAACATTTTATTTCAAGCCATTAATTTCACGTCCTTTATTTTATTAAATGAAGCCTTAATACACAAGCATAGATGAGTGGTTAACTGGATGAAGAATAGTTAGCCGAAAGAAGAACAATGAACCAATACATCGGAAAATATTTTCATCATTTTATTTCATGCGTTTTGGTGTTGATACACAGTGGCGCCCGTGAGGGGTGTTCGCGCGAAGAAACCGGCCATCCGAGTTCGATTCCCACTTACGGCCAGCACCATTGGCGATTATCTGAATGGGTCCTGGGCCTCTCCTAGGTCGACTAAGCCTCAAATGAGTACCTGTTGTGATGTGTAAACATCGACACTGGGAAGACAAAGGCGGCCGGGCGTGGTGTTGGTCACCCACCCGTGTCGGCCTTCATAGGTGCTCGCTAACAGCACTTGCCCCAACAGTCTGTTAAGGGGGATCTTTGTCTTTGGATTTCTGTTTTTGGGTGCCTGTATGAGTATGGGTTATGCCTTTACAAGTATGGATTGTGCCTCTGTGGGTATAGGTTGTGCTGTATGAGTATGACTTTTGCCTGTATGGGTATGGGTTGTGTCTGTACAAGTATGGGTTGTACCTGTATGAGTATAGGTTATACCTGTGTAGTGTCAACGATTCAGAGACTGAGTTTCTAGGAGGCACTTTCCTTCTTAACAACTTTCACAGTCTCATCCGCACACTCTCCACAGTAACTCAACCTGGCCTATACACAACACTAGCCGTCTAACACTGACAATGCTGACTGAGACAGCCAACTACTATCCTATCGAGACGACAGCGATGACGAGACGAGTCCACTCCCAGAACCGGCAGCCTCGAGCCCCCCGCTCCCGGCTCCTTTTATGCTCCCAGCGCGGCCTTGGCTCCGCCCTGACCACGCCTCCCTTCTCGAACCCGCTAGTAGGTTCCAGGGGCTTCCAGATGGGGTCCTCCGTGACCCTTGCCCCGAGTTCCTCCGCCCTGCCAACACACGGCCGTGTTCACGCTAGGGCTGAACGATTTGGGGAGAATATCTAATTGCAATTTTTCTGACAGATATTGCGATTTGATTTGTGATTAATTTTTTTAAGTCAAGCTTCAGTTCAATATTCACTGTGTAATAGATTTAAAACATGCGATGGAGCATTACCACATTGTTCCATCAAAATATGAACTGCTCTATATATTCTAATGCAGGGATGAGAACTTAAAATATATGAATTGCTTCCAACGTTTATTTATTAAATGTTTTTAATTGAAATAAACATAGAACAATTGTTAAGTTAAATAAATAAAGTTATAATAGTAAAAAATAAAACTGACTTTTCAAATCGCAAAAAATCGCAGCCTTTGCGATTTGCTAATCGCATTGTTTCAAATTGCGATTTCGATTTTAAATCGATTAATCGTTCAGCCCTAGTCCACCTTCACCGGTATGTGTCCTGTCTGCCCACCACAGCTGCCGCTGCTGTCCAACAGCAGCGCTATCACACTACACCTGTATAAATGTGGGCATGGGTTCGACCTGTATCGCCAAGGGTCGGTGCCTTTATGAGTTAAAGGCCTTTTGTGTGGATGTACGTTGAACTTTTTTCGCGCTTTTACGTAGCCGAACGTGCTAATCTGCCTTGTGTGTGTGCCCCCCCTTCCGCCTTTGAGAGTGGCCACGTGTTGTGCCTGTGGCGAGTACGAGTCGGAGGGGGGCGGGGGAGGCCCTGTGCGAGTGTGGGGGCCGTGTCTGTATCGGTATGGGCGAGAGTGCGCGCTCATCGCCAAGGGGGGCGCCCGCGTGCGCGCGCGCGTGCGTGCGTGCGCGTGACACGCAGGTGCGAGTGCCACGGCCACGCCGAGCGCTGTGACTCGTCCACCACCCCCTACCGCTGCCTGTGCTCGGCCCAAAGCAACACGGAGGGGCCCAACGTGAGTGCAGCCGGGTCGGCACCACCACCCTCCGTCCCACGCCCCGCGTGTTCACACACACGGGGCGTCGCTCACCGTTAATCCACTGCTGGATGAAAGCCTCCCAGAGCTGCCCACCCCCGTCTCTTCGGGCTCTCTGTTTAGCTGAAACTGCTGCGAGTGGTGGCCTGGCCGGTAGCCACGGCGCTGTTCGTCAGCGGGGATGTGGCCCCTGGCTGGTGCAGAAACAGCGCGTGCCAAATGATCACTGTAGATCACAAGCGAGTTTTTGTTTTTGTTTTGTCGACGCATCAGGTTGCACGTGCGGCTGCGCGAGTTTTTTTTTGTTTTCGGTTCTGTTCTATCCCGCGTGGGTCTTTGAGTGGAATTCTCTTTAGGGGCCGTCCATAAATGACGTCACGCACCTAGCGGGGGGGAGGGGTGGGGGTCAGATATTTGTGACGATGTGTGACGAGGAGGGGGGGGCGGGTTGAGAAATGTGACGTCACATCAAAATGCGCAACTTTAAATAAATATAGACAACACGTTCTACTTAATTAAATAGACTTTTTTAATAAATGTTTTCCCCTACAACATCAGAGTGCAGCGCCACATTAAATACGCACTACAATGACAATAGTTTAAAGCGATTTGAAGCATGTTTTATTTTCAAAATGGAAATATGGTTTGTGGGGGGGGGGGCAGAGCTTTGTGACGTCATATTTGAGGGGGGGGGGGTCTGACTTTTTGTGACGCCGTGTGACGAGGGGGGGGGGTCATAAATCGTCCAAAATCGCGTGACGTCATTTATGGACGGCCCTTTAAGCCACCACGCAGGGTTGCCGTGTCTGTGACGAGGGGACCAGCCCAAGGCACGGGCTGCCCCCCACCCCCCACCACCACTAGCTTGTGTATCGACACGTAGCAGCAAGGATGGTTAAATGTTGATGAATGTTACACGAGGGCCGGGATGAGGAGGGGGAGCCTAGTCGAGACGCTCTTGGCAGCCACTGAAACTCCGTCGCGGCTTAATGAGAACATATGTCCGTACATGCAATATAGCCAATGCTCGAGTGCATAACACCGCACGGAGGAATAGCAATAAGTACTGTAGTGGTGTTTTTTGGTTCTGCTCGCAAGATATTTAATTGCGTGCTACCAATTGAAGTGATGTCTTTGAGACGAACTGGTCATTATTCATGGCACCTCGGTCCCAAAGAGGCCTGCTTGAGGGTTGTCCTCAGCGTGCAAACCCCAGCTGCGTGTCGTATGTCGTATTGCTGAGCGACTGCGTGGAGCGAGCGTGGGGTTAGTGTGGAGCGAGCGTGGGGTTAGTGTGCAGCGAGCGTGGGTGAGCGTGGGGTTAGTTTGGGGTGAGCGTGGGTGAGCGTGGGTGAACGTGGAGTGAACGTGGGGTTAGTGTGGGGTGAGCGTGGGTGAGCGTGGGTGAACGTGGAGTGAGTGTTAAACAAGCGAGCGTGGGAGAACGTGGAGTGAGCGTGGGGTTAGTGTGGGGTGAGCGTGGGTGAACGTGGAGCGAGTGTTAAACAAGCGAGCGTGGGAGAACGTGGAGTGAGCGTAGGCAGTGCCGGATTAAGCTAGTCTGTAGCCTATGCTGTTATAAAGGGGCCCTAAATAAAAATGACACATAAATATGAAAATACACATGTTTAACTTGCATAGTAATTGCATTTTTTCATTTGCTATACAGCCTGATAATACGACAAATCGCTAACCTTAAACACTCAGTCGTTCGTAAAAGTTGAAGGCGGTATAGTACTATAGTAATAGAGCAAGTGCAGAATCACTGAACCGGAATTGATAGCTTGAAAGCGTTTAGCGCGGGGCCCTTGAAAGTGCGGGGCCCGTAGCGTACGTAGCTACTTGTGCTCCTCGGATAATCTGGCACTGAGCGTGGAGCGAGCGTGGAGCGAGGGTGGCTGAGTGCGGGCGAACATTGGGGGTGAGCGGTCGTGAGTGCTACTAGCACCGTGCCCCGCTGCGCAGTGTGAGCTGTGCAGGCCCCTGTTCAGAGACAAGCCGTGGCGGGCCGGGGACACACGGAACCAAAACGCCTGCCGGCCCTGCCTCTGCTACGGCCGCGCTTTAAGTTGCCGCTACGAGGCCATCCTGGACCCACATCCAGGCCTCCACTGGCGAGGTGGTGGCGGCGTCTGTCAGGACTGCACACAAAACACAACAGGTTCGGCTGTACCATCTCTCCACACACGCACAACACAATACCACGGTTTTCACCTGTACCACCGCTACGCACACAAACACCATGGTTCAAGCGGTACCATCCATCCACATGCGATACCACGGGTCCAGCTGTACTATCAATACACGTGCACACAACGCCACGGGTTCAGCTGTACCACCGCCCATACACACGCAACACAATAACACTTGTTGGGCTGGGCGATCCGTACACTCGCACACAACAACACGGGTTCGGCTGTTGCTGTCGCTGCACGCACAGCACGGTCGCAGTGAAACACTTCCCAACAAATGTGCACTCGCAAATTCCAGAGCGCGTGTGCGGATGAAAAAAGTCTTGAGATGACGAGCGGCGACGTGAGGACACGCGCCGTCCGTAAAGTTGCATCGTGGAAGTGCAAAGGAAGGCGCCTCTGCATCTTCTCGCTGCATATTCGCTCGGTGTCGGCGCTTCCCACCAGAGACGGCAGATAAATTGTAGCGCTTATGAAGTGCCAGTTATGATTTTGAGGTTACTTTGTGTTCTTACCAAATTGAAAAATGGAGAAGTAATTGGGGCGGTTTGAGTGGGGTAGGGATGCTGCACCATTCATCTTACTTTGAGTGACAGAAAACAATATGAAGTTTGTTTGAAGGCTGCCTTAGGGGAAATTGATACATAAGTTTCACAGTGGGAAGCTGTCGGCAAGGATGATGGATGAGACCCAGCGCCTGGCCTCTTGTTTCCCACCCGGGTCTCTGTGGACTCTGGTCTGGAGAAGGGTGGGAATAAGTGATAAATCATTAGTATGATAAATTTTTCAGAGTTTTTACCTGAAAAGTGTGATCAGCAAGGGCAGCGTAACACCGCAGCGCCCGCTCGCACGAGCCCCTTGCCCCGATTCATCGGCGCTTGAATTTCCCCGCATTTTATAAGGCACTTAATTACACTTTTGACAATCTGGGAGAAGACAAATACACATCATCGTCGGCTAATTCATTGTTTTCTCTCGGCTTGCCGTGCGATATAGCTTAACACTACCTCACTTTATAATCATGATTTGATTAGCGGACTGGGGAGTTTTATTAAATGGAATCTTATTACGACCGTTAATTGAAAATTATTTTTGGATCTCCCCATTGGACAGGTATCCTATCGTTGTTGTTTAAATTCAATTTAGAATTATGTAATATATTAATTAGTTCTTTCACTGCATCAGACAATGTAGATTTAGGGCAGCTAACCGAGTTGTGTCCCTTAGGAAGGAATGAGTGCGAGGTATAGCTTGTGGCAATTAAAATATAAGTGTCCCATCATTAATCTAAATGATTCGTTCCCCAATCTTTTTGTTCCCTTATCGCTTTGTGCCTTGGCTTTCCTGCTCCAACCTCCTCGTCACTGGCTAAACCCTTGTCCACCTTCTTCCTCGTCACCCTCTTCTTGCAGGACAGCACTGTGAGCGGTGCGTCGACCATTTCTACATGGAAGTGGGCGCCGATGTTTTTTCCCCGGACTTGTGCCGACCGTGCGATTGCCACCGCCCCGGTGTGCTCATCGAGGACGAGCCCTGCAGCCTGGTTTGTCCTGAACGCACAGCTACTGCATCCACCCTCGCCTACACGCGACGCCCGCCCCTCCACCACCCCCCCCCCCCCCAAAGCGAGCCTCACCTGCGATCGCACAAACGCCAAAGTGGCACGGAGAGTGAAGCGTGCAAGCAGCCTTCACTTCGTTTGCACCGCCGTTATCGCGGCCGGTAATTTAAATTGTCCGAACTCGTGCCACACTTCGCTGCGCACGAGTGGCAGCTGCTGCTGGAGAGAGCAGAAGGTGGTGGCTTAGTGTGTGCGGAGGTGGTGCTGGCGGCGTGGGCATGGCTCGCTCACAGGGCAGCTGTGTGTGTACGTGTGTGTGTGCTGTCACAGGTGGGCGGGCAGTGCCGGTGCAAGCCGTTTGTGACAGGGCGGCGCTGCGATGCTTGCCGGCCCGGCTATTACGACCTGAGGGCCTCCTCCACGGACGGGTGTACCCCGTGCGGCTGCCACGTGGCTGGGACGCGTGGCGGGGACCCCGACTGCGAGGAGCACAGCGGCCAGTGCAGGTGCAAGCCCAACGTCAGGGGTACGACACGGCATCGCCAGACCCCCCACCCCCCCCCACCCTCCCCCCCCAGTCTGTTTCCGTCATTCGCATAAGAGCAGCGGTGGGTCCAGTGTGAGGTTTACTGAGGTCCCTCGCATGAACCAAATGTGTGCGTTCAGGTGCAAAGTGTGACAGCTGCGACTATGGATTCAAGCTTCTGAGCGCGGCGAACCCGCTGGGCTGCGAGTCGTGTAACTGCAGCGCGCGGGGAGCGCTGGACCAGCTCTGCGACCCAGGCAGCGGGCAGTGTGCATGCGTGCCGCACGCCGAGAACACGCGGTGCGACGCCTGCTCCGCGGGATACTACGGCCTGCGTCCCGCCGGCTGCAGCCCCTGCGAGTGCGACCCGCAGGGTGCCGTGCCGGGCAGCGCGTGCGACGGGGCCACGGGGCGGTGCGCGTGCAAGCGGCACGTCGCCGGCCGTCGCTGCGACTCGTGCAGCGACGGCTTCTTCGGTCTGAGCGAGCTGACGCCCGACGGCTGCTCCCCATGCGGCTGTGACCCGGCCGGCACGGCGAATGGGACGGCGGGCTGCGACGCACGTACAGGGCGCTGCCACTGCAAGGCGCTGGCATCGGGCTCGCTCTGCTCGCTCTGCCGGCCGGGCTCCTACAACCTTTCGGAAACGAACGCGGCTGGCTGCGAGCCATGCCTCTGTGACCCCCAGGGCACGGAATTTGGCACGGTGTGCGATGGCAGCTCCGGGCAATGTGCCTGCCTGCCGGGGTGGGCCGGCCGGCGGTGCTCCACTTGCCAAGCAGGTAGAGGCGTGTGGAATAACGGTGGAAATCCGCTTCACGGGAAATCCCATCCTGGCCCATCCCCACCGCTCTAACGGGCAATGCACCTTAATTTGCAATTCGCTAGTCACAACTGTTTTGCTTGATGGATTATGTGCGAAAGAAAATGAGGCTTTGCAAATTTTGAAATATAATGCAAAATTATATTCGCGTTGTCACAGTCCAAATACAATTGATATAATTGGTAAGGAAGATGTAAAGCCACATGATTTATGAAACAACAGTGCAATAAACAATCACATTTGGAGGCTGCACGCATACCTTAGACATGAATACTAAAACGCATTCATGAGGATCCCTCTGCAAGTAGCAGCAATCTGTTATTCCTGCCGTATTAATCATGCTGCTGGCAGCGTTTCGTAGTGGCTAATTTGTCTGCTGTGTCTCCGTGCAGGGTTTTACCGCTTGGAAGGAGACGCCTCTGGCTGCCGGCCATGCGACTGTCACGAGCGCGGCTCTGCGCACGCGGCCTGCGACGGCAACTCGGGCCAGTGTGCGTGCACCAGCCACACGGTGGGCGGGAGGCGGTGCCACCGCTGTGCCCACTCCTATTACGGCTTCGCCCAGGAACTCGGCAGGTAAACCAACGGGCACGATGCCACGAGGCCACCCTCCACCTCTTGGGTGTGGGCGCCGACCTGCCTCGAGGCCCCCCGCCCCCCCGGGGTCGTGCGGGTGACGCCTCGCGCGTTCTCACATTTGGCGGGGGCGGGGGGGGGGTCACCCTACTGCAGTCGAACGCCGTCACGTCACTTCCAACGGTGCCTTCTCCCTGGAAAGTTGCCTTGTTGTCGGACTTGTGCAGCGACGATCACGTTTGGAGTGTATTTCACACAGGCATCTACTGCTATGCCGTTTGCGAGGTGAGCAAACACAGCTCCACCTAGTTCACGACGACCCAAAGTTTACTCTTGATTTTAATGAAGTGTAGTTCTTGCAAACGCCCTTTTTACTGCGGTGTTGTGATCAGTGCAACGCAGCGTTATGCTGAGGGTTGTAATGCCTTTACATGCACAGCGTATCTCCTGTATGAAATACATTTTATAAACTAGGAGCGCGGAAAGAAATGGGCTCTTAAAATATAACGGCGTGTGTTGTGAGGTCGTATTGATTTTGCAATAAACATTCCCAAACACTTTTTTTCTTGTCCCCTGAGGCTATAACATAATTGCAGCCTCACAAGTAACAGCGTGTTTACATTGCGGGTCCTCCTGGTTAATTTGCCACATTTATAGGGTTCAGGGCAAGCGCCTCTCGCCGGCGTGCGGTGCGTTCTGTGCTCGAACGACGCCGCGGCAAGGTGCATGACTCGTTACAGAAGAGTCGCGAGTTTGAGCCGCAGTGGGAGGCCATCCTGCCTTCCTCCACTCCTTAGTGAAAGGGGACTGGCTGCTTTTTGTTGAAAATTAACAGAGGTCGCCGCGTCAGGAGGCTGGATCCCACAACAGAATCTTGGATACAATTCAAAATCTAGACTCCGCGGACTCAAGCTGTCCGCTCTCATCTCACTCTATCCCTCTCCTCGCACTACCCCACCTCTCCCCGCTTATTTAACTCTACTCCCCCCTGCGTACCCTCATACCTTTCCCGTTTCGTCTCACTCTCCTCCCCTCCATGCACTCTCTGCTCCGGCAACCGAGGCTCTCTATAGAAGCTCCAACCTTTGCTCAATGGGAGGTCGCTCAATTCTCCTCTGCTGCCCGCATTGTCTGGGACTCCCTCTCCCCGGCCATCCACACTGCCGACCCCCTGCACCTTTTCAAGTCCGGGCTGAACATGTCCTTTTTTTTTTGTTTTCGTCCCCCCACCCACTGCCCCGTTATAAAATAAATACGCCCACCGTTACCGTTCAGCATCTCGAGACGCTCCGCAAGCCCACGTTGCACCGTGCGCAACCTCCTGCCCTGGCTCGGCACCGCACGTTCGTGCGGCCAGCGCCATGGCTTGACGGGGTGACGCGACCGTTGCGGCGTGCGTCCCCCCGCAGGTGCCGGGAGTGCGCCTGCTCGACGGCCGGAAGCCTCGACACGTCGTGCCACCCTGACACGGGGCAATGCTCGTGCAAGGCGCTGGCGATGGGGCGGCGCTGCGACGCGTGCACGCACGGGGCGTCCCACCTCCGCGCGAGCAATCCCTTCGGCTGCAGCAAGAGTGGGTGCTGAAATCCGTCAGCGTAATGTGTCCGTTTAATAAACTTCTGTCCACCCGTCTGCATTAGTTTACTCCGCTTTCTGTCCGTCGTTGCCCCTGGCTGCCTGTCATGTCTCCTTGTCTTGCTTTTTTGCCCACCTTTAATCTATCTGTCAATTTCTTTCCGCATCCGTTGTTTCTGCAGTAGACTACAATTGATGTAATAAAAAGTGTGTTGTCTGTACGGAGCTTCTGCCTGGTTTGTTTTAAACGTAACGACCACTGCAGCCTCGGTGGTTGGGGCCAGCGCCTGCACTCGACTCGGCCCGAGTGGCAGAAATCTGCCCGAGGTTTTTTTAAGCAGGCGCTCGCTGGGACCGACCAGTGCAGTCACGGACACCACCTGGCCTCCGTTGCGTGCGTGGCTGCATTGCTCCACCCTGTCGGTGCCAGTTGAAGCGAAACCTCGTTTACTTGCCCTCACAGTGGGGCACTGCTCCACCTCTGTTTGTTGCCACTTCTGCAGACACTGAAGCCAAATCCTGATTGAATTCCACTCGGCAGATACAAAATTGTTCCCAATTTACTTTCAGCAATTGGCACAAGATGACGTGGAACGCCAATGTACACGTTCCCGTTGTCGAGGCACCGTGTGACGTATTTCAATGAGAGCCCGAGCATTCTGTTGCTGCGAAAAGACTTCCTCTCTTTTTTTCCCCATCATCATTTTTTTTGCTTGCGAGCGAAACATCCGCAGAGCCATTGCGAACGAACGGCAGCGTGCTCGCAGCGCGGCTCCGCACAGAGCGGAGTGGCCGTGTGACGAGCGCGTCCGCCCGGCGCGCGCGTCGTTCCGGGAGGCGCGGGAGGCCTCTTTACCGGCCGCGTCGGCCGCGCCCGCTGAGCGGGTAACGTGTCGTTCCTGTTGAGCAGCGCCGTCGCAGCAGCCGCCACCCGTGGCCCGCGCCCTCGGCTCCTCCGCCATCGGGCTCGCCTGGTCCCCACCCGACGCCCCCAACTCTGACCTCCTCACCTACATCCTTTATCGCAATGACAGCCAGATCTACAGCGCACGGGATCAATACCCATTTGGTAAGCGTGTAAATCAGCCGGTGACCTTCCTGCCGAGGCTTCATTAATGCTCGCGTGCTTCGGAGAGAGGGGTGGCAGGGAAGGGGCGGTGGGGGGATGGGGGGAGGGGGAGAGTGCGCGTGGTCGTGCCACACGAGGGTGGCACGGGCAGGCGTGGACCTTCGTTAATAATCACCCGCAGCCCGCCGCCACCGTGCCAAGATGCTGTTATGCAAATGAAGTAATGGGGTGTTGTAAAAGCAAAACGAATGTATTGCAGTAATTGGAATGTTAATGTTATTTATTGCCATAGTAAACCTGTGCATGGGAATGAGCACGGCGCTCATCGCGAGGCAGGTCACTCGCAGTGCAAGCGGCATCTCAATGTCGTGTCTGCGCAATGGGCTTCCCGGCGTTAATGTCAGAAACACTTTCATCTCTCCCATGTACTTTATTTAGCCACGTGAGATGTTAATGGGATTCATTATCTCTCTCGCTGTGGACGTCTGGGTGTCCGCGGTTATGCATAAACATGTTTACGTTCGAAGTTAAACCCTTGAGTTTATTATCGTGTTACTCTTTATGTGTGAAGAGGTTTTAAAATTTCATGTCTTGGCTATGACACAGGCACATAATGGCCCGGACTCCTGAATAATTTTCCAGGTTTTTTTAAGGTCACGTCACAGCAGATGGCTTCGGTCATTCGCTGCTGAAGCCACAGAATGGCGGTGGCAGGAGTCTCGCCGCTTGCTCAGCGATGAGCAAGCTGAGAACCAGGCCTCTCACCCAGCCCTGTCTAAATGCCTCTCGTTTGCCAGCACCGTACACGATTGCTATCCTCTCAAAGCAAAGGATAAACAAATTAAAGTAGTGTGTAGTAACACGCAGCTGGGCAACCTTCCCATTCAACGAAAGGAGGACTGCATGAGGAAGAAGCATCCGTTGCCAACCCTCATGCGCTGGTGGTGGTTGCAACCCACGCTGACGTCTGGGTTTTTTAAAGCCCCTAATGGAAATTCTGGTTTGTAGGAATTTGTTCCTGGCACAGACCGTTATGCCTGTTGGCTTCGTGGGTAAATCAAAGCAAATTTGTACGCTGCGCCTTCAATTGTTCGTAAGGCAGCATGCGTCTATTTTTCATCTCTGCGCACAAGCGTGCGGGCCATTGCAGCATCGCGTTCCCGGCTCCAGACAGGGGCGTTGGGTTTGTCCGTTGTTACTCGGTTTGGTGCGGGGTACGGCGCCCACGTGCAGCCCTGATTATGCAGTGCGGTCAACCCCATTGTCGGCATGAAACGCAACACTTATCAGCCAACTCTCTGTGGACAGGTATCAACGTGTCACCCCTGTTTGTTGCTGTGGAACGGAATTTGCATAAATATTATGTTTAATGCCTGCGGGGGAGCAAAAACCCTTTCTGCCTTGTCATTGTGCAGTAATTGCTTTTTTTTTTGTTGCCTTCCTCTGGTCCAATTTTATTTTGTTGCGGTTTTGCGTCGGCAGGTCCACAAAGTTTCAACGACACGGACCTTTCGCCGTACACGTCCTACTCCTACTCTGTGCGGACAGCGAACGTCGCCGGCGGCGCGCGCAGCCCGGCGGCGTCCCAGCGCACGCTCGCGGGACCCCCGCCCGGTGGCCCCACGCTGGAGGTGCAGGGCCCCGTGGGCGCCCGCGCCGTCTCGCTGCGGTGGAGCGAAGCGTCCGGAGCGAACGGGCCGGTGCGGAGATACGTCCTCGAGTCGCGCTTGCCCGGACAGGCCTCCCCGCCGCAGCTTCGCTATGCCGGCCTAGGCAACGCCGCCCCGGTGCCGGGGCTGAGCCCGTTCACGTCGTACGAGTTCGCGGTGCGCGCCTGCACGGACGGGGGGTGCAGAGACGGCCGGCCTCTGCGGGTCGTGACCCGGCAGGCGGCCCCCGAGGGTCAGGCCGCTCCGCGCGCGACGGCGCTCGGCCCCACGGAGCTCGGCGTGTCCTGGGACCCGCCCTCGCGACCCAACGGTACTAAACGAGGTCCGGGCATTACGGGATGCCACGTCGCTTCAGCAGTTCGTCAGATGTCGCCCGACGTCACCGGACACCACCGAACGTCACCGCCGATCGGCGTACATCTGTCGGCAGGTCACGAGCAGAGCCGTTGCGATAACTCTTTCGCGATGTCTCCCTGCCGCAGGTGCGCTCGTTCGCTTTGAGCTGTTTCTGCGGGGACCCTTGGAGGGGACGAACGCGTCGAGTCCGTCACCTCGCGAGCACCTCGTGCACGAGAGCTCGGGCTGGCTGGACTCCCAGGCCGGCGCGGCGCCTGGCGAGGTCGCGCTGCCGGCCACGGCCACGAACGCCAGCGTTGGGGGCCTGCGGCCGTTCTCCACGTACGAGCTGCGCGTGATCGCCGTTAACCACGCGGGCGCCGGCTGCTCGCCCTGGACTCGCGCTCGCACTGGACAGGGCGGTACGTGACCCGGCGCACCTCGCCGATATTTTCTCTGCATTCATTGTGTTTCGCGGCATCGCAATAATTGAACTTTACAGCATTGGTCTAAGTTGAAAACTCATTTCTCAATTGAAAACTTTATTTCTTTACAGCTGCTTTTTGTGTTTAGTTTGCTGTCTTTTCCCCGTACCTCCGATTAGCACGGTTGGCAACTTATGGTTGATAAAACGCATAATCATGACCTTGTTTAAAACAGAGGCATTTGAAATGCCTCAATCCCTCAAACCCCCCCGCCCCCCTGGCACTTTGGGGCTGTGGTTTGATATTTGTGCCCTGGATGTATTTCACTCAATGAAAAAAGCAGCGGTGTTCCGTGTGTCACAGTCAAGCCACGGTCGAGGCTCTCTCGCGGGTCCCGCACGTGCGAGAGAGCCGGGCTGCCAAGAGGAATGCCACTGAAGAATCAACCCATTGATTTTGTGTTGCCGTTTCACTCCGGCTTTCATTCATCGTTCGGTAAAACGGCTGGCATATTTGACTCTGGCAATCGCTCGATTAATCAGTCGAGCTCGCGTGATCGACAGGATACTGACAGGAGGGTGACGTGCCCTAGCGTTGCCAAGACAGCGTGGTCCCGTTGCCATGTCAGTGAGGGCGGCCTCGGCCTGCAGCTCGTGGCAGCCTCTGAGTGACGAGCGGGGACAAGATTACCCTGCGTTCATTTAAGCAACTACACACAGTTAGGTGCGCATGCATATGCATGCGTGCAAAGTCTGTACGTATAAAATGCGCGTGTGCGTACGTACATGCGATTGGACGTGCATGTGTGGAGCGAGCGGTAGCGCATCGGTTAGCGCTACGCTGCGCCACGAACCTGGCGACCCGAGTTCGATTCCCGCTCACGGCCAACAACGGTGACGATTATCTGAACGGGTCCTGGAACCTTCCCTAGGTCGACTCAGCCTCAAATGAGTACCGTACCTGGTGCGGGGTGTAATCATCGCCATTCGGGGAGACACCCGACACCACCGAACCTTCGTAGGTGCTCGCTAACAGCAGTTGCCCGAACAGTCTGTTGAGGCTACAGGGTGGGGGGGTGGGGGGGGGGATATCTTACGTCTTTGTGCGTGTGCATGTCACAGCGCTGGTGCCCATGGCAGCGCCCGAGGTGGTGCCCGTGAGTGCCACAGCCCTGAAGGTTTCATGGGGCCGCCCGGCCGCCCGGGCCGTCGGAGAAGAGGTGCTCGCGTACCGCGTCGCTCGGCTGCGGGGGCAGATGGACGATCCACATGCGCCTCCCGTCACCGCGGAGGTGATCACACACGGCGGGGGAAGGGGGCATGCGCAGCACGATTAGTTTTTACCCGTCAGTGAAATGCGCCGCGTTACAGACGTCCCTCCCACTCGTGACGCTTCAGCAAAAATAAACATCATAATAACCTTTGCGGACGGGAAAAGAGCCATTGAGGCAAGGGAGACCGGGGGAATGAAAACTGCCTGCAAAGGGTAATCGTCCAATGCACAGTAGATAAGTGAAACAATACGTAAATGAAGACATTAAATAACAGAGAAATCCAACGTGGGGTAATGAATCCATTAGCAATCTTGGATCGTGAGAGAAAACTCTCGCCCATCAGGCGCATGAACGAATGAGCGTGCGAGTGTGTTACATGTCAAACAGTACAATTCAACTCTGACCCTTGTTGTTAGTCAGTTGACAATAATGCATGGCAACTGTGTTCAGCGTATACCGACCATCCAAATCAAGATGAACTGGGATTATACGTGACGTGCGAGCTGTGTCGGCGGTACAATGACGGGTGAAGAGTGTGGGTGAGCGACGATTATAAGTGTTGGTGGGCGCGGAGCGCGGGCGGGTTCACGACGGGCGTGTAATGAGGCCACTCACTCCGGTCCTTGCCACGTGCGTTCGCTGTGGATGGACGGTGGCTACGCTGGGAGCCCCGCCCACCGCATTGGCTGCGTTTGTCTGAAGGCGAATGCTGGGGATCCTGACCAGAATCCCCTAATTGATGCCGTAGCCTCGGAGCTCAATGATTACAGTGAAGCTAATTATCCACGGGTCAGCGATTTAATGTTTGTGCTAAACGTAATCAGGCACACATGTCAGTGCAGCTGCCGTGCTGTAGTGCTGCACATGTTTGAGCTGGGCCGTTTTTTTTTTCCTCTTTGCCAAAAGTTTTATCCTGAATATGAAAAATGTTCAAAATTCAGGCTGACGTCATCATCAACAACAATGATGACGTCAGCCTGCACTATTTAAGACCGGAAGCAGGTGGATGTCCTCACTATTCTGGCAAATCGCTCGAAGATGCTGGATGTAATAACCAGCGAAACGTCGTACTCAAATTGTAAATGTCGTGGATCCACTCTTCAACACACCGGTGGGCTAAAGTAGTGAAATATTTTGTATTTTGTCTTTTGTCAGCGTGAGACATTTTTTACTGATTGGCCGTGCCGGGTGGTGGAGGGTTGCGACACATTTATAAATAACGCGATCTAACCCACAAACCTTTGTTATGAATAATACTGGTCGCGAAAGCCTACGTGTTAAACTGACGTTAAAATTACAATGATCCAATTACCCCCCCCCCCCCCCCGTGGCTTATCTTGGGTTTTGTATTTGTCTAAGTCCTCACTAATCCAGAATAAATAAAATGCAATTAGTGGTGAGACCTGGGTAAACACAGATTGCAATGTCAGTATTTCTGAGACTTAACCCTGTGCCTGTTGTGCAGAAAAATGTAACATTCAAATCGCAACGTCACATTGTCAGGGACATTAAGAGCTTGCTGTAAAATCGTACTTGTTTAGAAAAGAGGATTGCAGAATGACAGATAATCAGTGGACAACATTTCAATTTCTGTTTGAAGGTAAAATTCAATCAAGTCAGATTAATATGAAAAAATAATGAGCTGTGCACGTTTCAGATAATGCATGAGGACACTCCAATGCCTTCCCCCTCATGTCTATATTGTGCCTATCTTCTTGTCTGTCTGTGTCTTATTGTCCTATTTTTTTGTCTGTCTCTACAACAGGCGGATTATTTTTCAGTCGCTCTTCATTGGTGATCGCCCGCGGTGTGCATCGTGACTCTCTCTCTCTCTGCCCCCACACCTGACGGGGGTGGTTATGTGCGTGGGCCCCTTTGATAAGCAGTGTCGTGGAAGCTTCGTGGTTGAGGTGTGTGTGGGGTAAGTTGCACGGTGGAGGTGATGAACCTTGCTCGGTGTGTGTCCGGCCTCCGCCGTGTCCCTCCAGGAGGTGTGTGTGCGTGGGCCCCATGACGAGTCGTGTTTGGTGGAGGGCCTGGAGCCGTTCTCTCGCTACAACTTCTCCGTCAGCGTGTGCACGGAGCGCGGCTGCGTCGGGAGCGCGCAGGGTGTCGGGGTGACGCTGCCTGCAGGTACAACCACACGCACACTCACGCACACTCACGCACACTCTCGCACGCTCGTACCAAAGATCCCCCGTGTAGCCTGAGCAGACTGTTTGGACAAGGGCTGTTAGCGAGTTGCACCTATGGGTGGCCGGCACTATTCCTGGTCGCCTTTGTCTCCCCAGTGACGATTTTTACACACCGCGCCAAGTATTCATTTGAGGCTGAACCGACCTAGGGGAGGCCGAAGACCCATTCAGATAATCGTCACTGGTGTTGGCAGTGAGCGGGAATCGAACTCGGGTCGCCAGGTTCGTAGCGCAGCACACTACCGCGCACTATGCGCACCATCAAAGTTCAAAGTTCCCCCGTGTAGCCTGTAACAGACTGTTGGGGCAAGTGTTGTTAGCGAGCACCTATGAAGGCCGGAACGGTACACGAGGAGGGTGGGTGACCAGCACCACGCCCGACCGCCTTTGTCTCCCCAGTAGCGATGTTTACACACCGCACCAGGTACTCATTTGAGGCTGAGTCGACCTAGGGGAGGCCCGGGACCGGTTCAGGCAATTGTCACTGGTGTTGGCCGTGAGTGGGAATCGAACCCGGGTCGCCGGGTTCACAGCGCAGCGCGCTAACCGCTACACTACCGCTCCCCACATGCGCACCATACACACACACACACACACCGCACGCAAACTCACTGCATGCACCGCACGCACCACACGCACGCACTGCACCATAAGCGCGCGCACGTCACGCTCGGCGCTCTCTCGCACGCACTCACTGCTGCCTTCCCGAGGGCCCGGCTGGCACACTCTAGAGCACGAGCTTCTTTAATTATCTGCTTCTGTGCTTTAGATGTAGAAAAAGCAATACCTCGAGCCTTAGCTTTAAATTCGGTAATTCAGTGGTGGCACTTACCGCTGCGTAAAAAACAGGAGCGCGTGCTGACTCAGCGGCGCTGTCATCGGCGTCTCAATTATCCCCCCCCCTCGGCCGCTGGCATCTCAGAAAGCCACCGAGACTCAGAGCCAACATCAGTCGAGGCCCGCGCTCCCCCCGCCCCCGCCTCCTCCGCCCCCCCACCCCCCTCGCTCCCCCCACCCCCCTCGCTCCCCCCACTCCCCCCCCCGCGCTCCCCTCACTCCCCCTGCCCGAGCATGCAAACCCGCTTTGAGTGGCCCGCGCGAGCACACAGAGCACGCTCGCTCCCGCTTGGGCGTAACGCACAAGCGTGCCGCGCGCGTTGCGTGTTCTGAGCGTTTGCGACGCGGGAAATCGTTCCTGCTGTCCTTGCTTCCGAGGGCAGAGTCGTGGTGTGGGCTCAGAGTGGCACGGGCTTGCCTCAGTGTCTCCGTTAAGTTCAAGCAATCTCTGTGTGCGCCTGGTGCACGTGCATGCTCACGGCGAGTTCCCTGTTTTTTTACGCACTCCTCGCATCAGGCGAGTGTGAAAGTGGAGCAGCTATGCGGCTAGTCGCTTACTTTGCTCCGTGGGCGGTTGCCCCCGTGGTCTGGAATTCCCTTCCCCCAGCCGTCTGTGCTGTCGACTCCCTGCCCCTGCTCGAACGTAGGCTGCTGACCCTGACTCTTTCCCATGACTCACTGCCTCTTTCTCTCTATGAAATAAATAGTGTAGATACAAATTAACTCTTTATCTGTGGCCCACAACGTCTTGATATTGCAGGCACATTGAGTACCACGTCATTATACGGCCGCACTATCTAAATAACACGTGTAGGGTCCGGGGAGAGGGGTATGGTGCGCATATAGCGGCGTGTTTCTCAGTGGCATATTCCCGCAAAATAAAACGATGACGAAAGTTTACTTTTGGCCCCGTGGAGGGGCCGCGAAGAGCAACTGAATTATTGAACCGATTTTTGGGGCTTATTAAGGTTTTTTTCTTTCTTTCAGAGAGGAGTTCGTAATTAGATCCGGTTTTTCCTTTTTTCTTTTCATCACGTACAATATAACACAATTACGAAGCGATCGCTGGCAGCAAAGTGGGCACCGGCAATGTGACTCGTAAGTTACGTTCACGTGAACGCGAGCGGGCGTCAGCCCGTCCGCAGCGTTCTGCTGGGCTCACAGCCTGGGCCAGATAACGTATTATGAAGCCATTAAAATGATAAATTGTCAAAGCTTCTTTCCTTTGGAACGGGAATGTCACGGGCAGCCAGTTAAAATGGAACCATACATTTCTCACCCTGTCATTAGCAGACACCTCTCTTGAATCCCCGTAATAACTATACCAAATAGAATCAATATAGCATTGATGAATGGACATGCGCTGTATGTGGGGTTTTTTTCTCTCTGATATGAATAGGCTTTCGATTCGAGGCAATTTCCTCATATACTGCAGCCAGAAAATAATTATTGAAACTGACAGGTCGAAGCAGACTTAGCTCACCGCTAATACATAAATTATAACGCGCCCATCACAGAGCACGGCATAACGCAGCGTGTTAGCGCCACTAACAAAACAGCGCTGCAGTGCATTCCGCATTCATTGAGCAAAGAATCACATTTGGCTTGAAGAAAGACTTCCATTATTTTAAACACGGTTGTTTATTTTTTCAGGAATGATAATTTGAATGTGTATTGAATTACATAATGCATTTTTTATGCGCTGAATATCATTAACGGGACGCTGTGTAGAGTTCATTTGGAGCACAAGATGAATGTGATATTAATTTTGTTTCTATAAATGAAATCAAGTCGTGCATACATCTTAATATTTAGCTATTATGCGGCCACATTGCAGGGGGCACTTGTGAAATGCTCGGTTTTACTTTCATTAACGTACACACAAATATACTCTCATTATGTACGATGATTTATGCATGAACCATACACCCATACTCAGAATATGTAAACTAACATATACACAAACATACAGTACTGCAAATATGTGATATATGTGATAATATTTATTATTTTAAATTCAAGTCTCAGCCCATCAATATAATGTTTGGAATTGACAAAATAAGTACCACTTTGTGGTCATTGACCTTGGTCTGCATGTGGATACCTTTACCAAATTATGTCTTTGCCTGTTAGTGTCAATCATCATCATCATCAGCAGCAATTTTTTTATCTACTGCTGGATGGAGACCACCGCACATCGACGCCATCCCTCATGGTCCTGTTGTTATCTCCTCGGATTGCTCCTCTATTTCGGCTGCCATCATCACACCCGTCCATCGGCCTCCATTCCTTCTGCCGATGCTGCCTGCCCAAGCGTATTTAATTTGTTCCTAACAATCACCGCCATGCATCTCCTTTGCATTTGTTTCTTTGATCAGCGTGTCCCTCTTTCCATCTCTCACCCTAACTTCCAAGCACACCCATCTCCGTGGTTATCTGTGCACTTTCTCAGCTTCTGTTCCACGTTCTTTGTAAGTGTCCATGTTTCTGACCCGTATTTTATGGTTGTTAATATGCACCGATTGAAAACGCTCTTCTTGAGGAAAATTGGTGCTTTTCAATGTAACATGTTCCATGAACGCTCACTTATGCTCTCGATCTTGTTCAAATCCACATGTCACAGTAGGTAATATATAATTGACCACGTGTACATACTGTACTGGCAAGTAGATTCTAGAAAAGATAAATTAAGATCAAATGCCATTATGTCTGGCTTTCTGTGTACTATGAAAAGGCATTTTGATGCAGTGGAAATCGATTCTCTCATCTGGGTGCTCACAAGCCAGAGCCTTGAGAAAAACAACAACACGATGAAAAGCCATCGACAGAGACACAACATCTCCACTGAGATCGCACGTTCAAGAAAGTAACGGTGTCAAGCGGAAGAGGAGTTAGGAAAGAAGATATGCTCTCACAACAGGGGTATTCACAGCGACACTCCAAGATATTGTCCAACAAACCGGAATTGGAGAAGTAAAGGCATAAGTGGTTAAAGTAGTAAGAGTCTTAGCTTTGCTGATGATATCGTCATTATAACTACCACTGTTAATGAACTACGGGAAATTACTGAACGTTTCATGCAGTGCTATCATAATAACAAATTAATCAGCTTCGGCCCCTTCATCAATCCACTGCTGAATGAAGACCTCTTGCTGTGTGGATCATGGGGGTTGTTTAATCATACTACACCACACTGGGCGGTGCGGGTCGGCGAACGGGCACCCAAGACAAGGTTCAGATATTTACTCGCTCCTCATGTTAGCTGTAGCTCAAAATTAAAACCCAAGCGTCCGCATTGACAGCGCAGCGTGCCGATCGCCGTTGCCACTGCTGCCTCCAGCCTCCAGCGAAGTTCGCAAACGTCACACAGCGTTCCTGCGGTTTGGCCGGGAAAAAGCCGTTTGTGATTGAGAGATGTGAGGAGCTGTTCGTGATGCTGGGAAACCGGTGCCGGCAGCAAGCCAGCTTGCTCCACGCCGCTTCCAAACAACGGTGCGGTTGTTTCAAGCGCCCTGCGCGTGAATGCTTCTCGGTTGCCGCGCGCGGCGTGCTAAGTTTTTCGGCGGCGTTCACGCATTCTGGTGCTTCCAGCTCCAGCGGGGCAGAGTGCGCCGAGCGGGCAAGGTGTCAACGCGTCGACTGTCCGAGTGGCCTGGAGGGAGCCTGCCCGACCCCACGGGGAACACCTTGTCTACCGGCTGGAGCGGACGCTTGCGGCACTGGCCAGCCCCCCGCCTCGTGCCAGCAGGGGAGTGAGGTTCCCGGGATATGCCTACTATCACTTCCCACACTCCACGTTCCCAACCAACGCGTATTACACAGGTATGTCCGACTTCACAGCCAGCCCACCCTGGCCCATCAATGATTCTGGACGGTGTGCCACGAAATACAGAAAACTCTTAATGTTGACCCTTGCAGACACTGCCTCACATTTGTGACAGATTTTGACAATGAAATGGTTTTGAAAATCTTTCAAACTATAAATTGTATTTTGGCAAAAATTGTTCATGATGGATTTGAAGCAGAAATGGAAAAAGAGACCCTCGTGAAAGAAGATGAAAATGTATTTTTTTTCGCCTGGCTTTGTATATTGCTTACCTTTAGGAGATGATTGTGCTGCCATTACCTCTGTCATCATAAAGCTCATATTGTCAATAGCGAAAGCCATTAGTGGCACTGGGTGCAGTTAGGGCTTATTGACTTCACTGTTAACAAGTTAATTTGTTTTATTTCTGCCTGAATGGTGCTCGTTACTTAAATGTTCACTGTAAAAGCTCCATATTTTTTAGAATGAAAGGCGGAATAGCTAATTGTTGACAAGCTTAATCAGGAGATAAATGAAAAATATATTTTCTCCTGTAAATCATTTTGTGCTTAGCCCATAAGATTGATCATTGCAATACTAATTCTAATTTTGTAATTTTCATATCTAATGAGCCTGCCTCCGATTTCATTACTTTAATTAGAGTAATATGAAATGTCATTAATGAGCTGCAACATGATAAATACCATGTTAATTCGAGTATGACCCAGATTCCTCCACTAACCCAGGTTGAAAGCCCACTTTGTAGTGCTCTAATAAATTTATGTCATTTTCTTGGCACCGTGTGGATTTTTTGAGCTTGACTCAAGGCATTGTGGCTTCGAGAATGGGGGGAGAAACTGAAATTACTCGCACCCTCCGGCATGCCACGGTGTCACTAAATTGCTTGCCCTCTCAAGTGGTCCTGCACAACGCTGTGCTGCTTTAATACACCCATCGCCTTCGCAGGCTGCATGCCAACTTTTCCACCGTGTACTCCAGCACGCTCCACCATGTGCCACCTTTTGCAGCTGCGTGCCACCAAATGCTACTACTGTGTGGCTCCATGTGTCAGCATGGCCCACCATGCATACTAACCTATGCTACCCAGTGCAACTCGGTACCACTTTGTGCCATGGCATGTCACTGTGAGGTTCTAAAAGCCACGACATGTCACGTACCATAAAGTTCTACCTCTCTTTGAGTCATGAGTTTCCATGTGCTACCATGAGCCACCACATGCTACCACATGCCACTCTGTATGCTACCACATGCCACCACATGCAGCTTCATTCCACACCATGCCACTCCATTCCATCCGATGCCACCCATGCCACCACATGTCACCATGCACCACTGTGCCGCGCCACGAGTGAAGTTATCCCCTTGCTTCCTGCCCAGGGCTGCGTCTACGCTTCAGGACACGGCAGGCGGAGGGGCTGCTGCTGCTGCTGGCGGCATCACGTGATGCTCGGCGCGAGTTCGTGGCTCTGCTGCTGCACGACGGCCGGCCGCGCTTGCTTTTCGACCCCCAGGTGCCGTTGCTGGGCCTCTCGCCCTGCCAACGTACCCGCTTGGACCTTGACTGGATTTCCAAAACGCTTCGACGCAGTCCATTGTGCATTTGAAAAATCTAATTGAACAGTCGTTTGACGCACAATGTCTACTCGTAAAAGATTGACAAGCTCCGCTGTTGAAAATACGAGGGGACATTTTGCTCATTTATTGGACTTCCATTATCGTTAAAATTGCGGGAAAGCCAACCGTCGCTTGCGCCACAACCCCGGGTCGAGCAGGTGGTTGCGCGCTCGCTCGCGCTCAGCGCTCTCGGCAGCTCCCAGCTGCGGGTGCACGTAGGAGAAGGTCAGCGATAATCGTACGAGAACAACAACTTTCTTTCAAATGGAAAACAGCCGGGATAAATCAGCTGTTCTTTATTTTTTTCGTGAGAAATAAATAAAAAAAAACATTAAATTCTACGACATTTTTTTACATGCGGCTTCATTTGTAAAATAAACACGCGCAAAAAACAAGTGGGACAAAACTCAACATCCGAGTCCTGGTGCATTTGGCAAGCAGTTGGCGTCTGAGCGATGCCACATTGGCTGCCACTCGCAGATGTCCAGCTGCTCAGCCGTTTGCATCCATTACACCCCTCCGCTCCCCCCCCCCCCACAACGCGATCCTCACTCTCTCTCTCTCTCTCCGCTGCCGGCAAATCCACACGCAGCGACAGGGGCGGTAGCCTCCCAGAGTAAACGCGCAGGGCTCATTCAAAACTTCACCTGTAATTGGAGAAGAAGAAAAAAAATCGCTAAACAAGAACGGAAAATAATTACGGGATGGACGTTGACGTTAGACAAGGCGTGAACTCGAGAGCCATGGGTGTAGGGACGCTCCGTGCTCTGGCAATAGGGGAATCGGGGTTTTTCTCCCCCCCCCCTCCCCCCGGTCAGGTCTAATGAAGCACGTTGTCAGGACTTGCCCATTGTTGTCACCATGATAACATCTGACTGGACAGATCCCTATTTAGCCAAACTAAACATAATGATTCCCACGCCTTGGGGCTTGCGATTTTTTTTCTTCCTCCAGCACTGAACCCACACTGCCATCCTTCATAAGAGATTCCTATCTGGTGACATTAATAGAAATGCAAATATGCTTAACAAAGTTTAATTACTGCCATTAATCTCATTATCAGCTGGGTGTGGACAGCTTTATTGCCGCTCTCTTCCCAAGAGTACTCAGACGTTAGCCCTAACTGGACACGTTGAAGTGACGGTGTGTGTGTGTGTGTGCGTGCGTGAGCAAAGTTTATATCGGGATTGCAGAAATATCCACGCAGGTGAAGGCAATCTGCATCGTGTTTTGTTAAAAAAAAATAGAAATTAGTAACCTCGCTTCAAGGATATAAGCTTGCTTGAACATTGTCCGCGAATTTAGCACGGGAAAACAGAAACAGAATACTCGGTTAGATAAAGCGTCATTAAACTATGCTACTCACAAAAGCCTACATACCAACTACCGTAATAACCGAATGAAAACAAATCTATGAATATGAGTCGGAAGTGGTTATAGGGAAGAGTGGGAGCAAGTGACTGTAGTGAGTGATCAGTGTGCGGTGTTTATGCTTCGGTCTTGCATGTCGAAATGTGTTTGCTCGTTGTTTTGCTACGTGGTGTTGGTGGCCAGGGCATGTGCTTTTTGTAGTGTGTATACATCTTCGTTTGGCAGCGCCTCCCTTGGGATGGGGCACTCAGGGTGGCATCTCCCACCCACCCTGCCCTCGATACCGCACTGCGCGCGCGCGTGTGTGTGGTGTGCGCGGTATGTGTAATGCTTGATCTTTGTGGTGTGTCTTTTGCGCATGGAGTGTGTGTGTGTGTGAGGAGCGGAAGTGTAGTGGTTCGCTCAGTGCACTACGAACCCGGCGTCCCCGAGTTCGATTCCCGCTCACAGCCAACACCGGTGACGATTATCTGGTGTGGTGTGTGAACGTCGCCACTGAGGAAACAAGGGCTTTCGCGCGTGGTGCTGGTAGCCACCCACCACCTTTCGTGTGCCCTTGCGGCCTTCACAGGTGCTCGCTAACAAGCGCTTGCCCAAACAATCTGTTAAGGCTACACGGGGCGGGGGCGATCTTTGTTTCCGGTCCGTGCCTGGTCAGCAGGGTGGTGCGGCGAGCCTGGACGGGGAGCGCCGCTGTGACGACGGCGCGTGGCACCACGTGGAGGCCACGAGGGCGATGGGAGCTGGCGAGCTGCGCGTCGACGGGGAGGTCGCAGGTGCCACGCCCGCCCACGGTGGAGCTCGGACCCCCCCCCCCTCCCCCCCCCCCCCCCCCGTGTAAACTCGTCCTGCTGCCAACACAGGCAGACGCACGTTCTAACTCAACGTGCGCACGCACGTATGCATGTTGAACTTCTTTCGCGCCGTACGTAGCCGACCGTGCTAATCGGAGGTGCGTTGCCAAGTAGAACCTGGTGAGCATCCGAGTCTTCATGCGGTGTTCAATCGTGACAAACAAAAACTCTGGTTTATAACTTGCACCTTCATTGCAGTGGTTGTGAAACTCAAGAAAAGGTCATGGGATAATGCTCATCTGCACTCTTGGCTCCGAGCCAGTGGTGAAAAATTCCACATTCATCCAGCAGTGGTTAGATTATCACTCATTATTATTATTATTATGGTGTGGGCCACCGTAGTTGTACTGGTGGTTATAGCCGCGAGGTCTGGGAGAATATAAAAGATGGTGGTGCCGTACGAGTGGTGCTGGCGGCATTGGCGCTGGTGACCTTTTGACCCTTAACACTTCCACCGTCGAACCTTCTTTGGTGCTTCTCGGTCTTCTCTTTCCCTAAACACAGGAGTGGTGTCCGACTCTGGCCGAGGCCCCATCATCGGCGAGAACACGCTGGTGTTCGTGGGCGCATTGCCTCGGCGCTACGCCCTGCGCCTCACCGACATTGGTGGCTATCACACAGAAGTCACTGCACGCGTGCCGCCACGCTCTTCGCGTACACAACGAAGCTCACTCCTCTGCCCCGGCCTCCCCCACTGCCGCCTCTAGGAGATGAGGCTGCGCTGAGACGAGGCTTCGTTGGCTGCATGAGCGACCTCTTAATCAAGCGGAAGGACTCGCCTCTGGAGGAGTGGGAGCCGCTCGAGTGGGATCTTGCGGCGGAGGCCTCGGGAGTGCCAGCGCCCTGGGAGGGCTGCCCCACAGAGCTCCAGCCTGGAGCTCACTTCCTGGGACACGGTCCGCGTGCACTCTGCATTGTGTACCACAGAACGCCACACATGCTGCATGTGTATCACCATCATCAGAAGCAGCAGCAGCAGCAGCAGCTATCAGCTATGTTTATTTCACTGTTGGGTGAAGGCCTCCCCAAGCTACTGCCATCTCGCACTCCACTGTGAATCCAACCACATGAGTATGATTGCCAACCACAGCTAACATCAGCAGAGCCATATATGAACGTGTTCTGGGACCCGCTTCCCTAACTCGCACTGTGGGTTGTAGCGAGTGCATTTTAATGGACAAAAGTCTATTTGTGCCACATTTTTTTTTGACACAGCGCTCCCAACAAGCCCATCAAATAACCAGATGAGTAAAATACCACCCATTTCAAAATAAATCAGTTCCCTATTCAAATTGATTGCTTACTTCACGTGACTAATCATTTATTCCAACGTTTGTAATTAATAACACTCTGTGTAAATAGTGCGTAATTCTGTGCTTGTGTGGCTGCCACTAATGCACTCATGCATCGATGCTCACAGGGCTAATTGGAACATTAAAGCATTGACGAGAAATGCTTAGGGCTCGCTGTGAGGACAAGTTTGTCTTATGATGTTGCTTTCTCCTCATGCTTGAGACCTCCCTTCCACTGCTTGTGTCGGGGTTTATTGTCCATAATTTTTTTGCACTTTTCCAGCTGGAGGTGGTTTTATGAGATTGGTAAGTGAAATCAGTGAAGGTTTAAAATATAATGAGCTTCATTGGCCTAATGTTACTTTTGGAAAAAAAGGCAGACCTAGTTAATTAACTTTAAGGAATGAATGGATGTGAGATAATTGTGCTGAGAGGGAATTTAAGCTCCTTGAGGAGACGTCTGCGATCGGACGAAACAATGTCCAGTATCAGACTCAAGAGCGGAGCGCACAGAGCGGACTGATGTTTCTAATGTACGTATTGCATGTCTGTTGAACTTCTTTCGCACTGTACGTAGCCAACCGTGCTAATCGGAGGTGCGAGATGGGGTTCAGGAGAGGTGCATCTGAGCGCCTTCTATTTGCCGGGCAGCAGCAGCGAGCGTCGTGGCCCGCTCTATTATGTCGAACTAACAGGAAAATCTTTACAATATAAATGTAAATCCTCTTGCCCTAGCTCTTGTGGGTAAAATGCGTCTGTATATGTATTTATTACAGCGATCTGTCAATCCATTGCTCGACGAAGACAGACCCACGCCGGGTCGGTCATTGGTTAGAGCGGAGCAGGCCTGGGCTGAGCTGTCCTCGTTTGGTAGATGTTGCGCCCGCCCTTGCTGCTGCCACGATTTCTATCTCGCTCTGCCGGTGAAGCTGTTGGACACAAAGTGTGACGAGCACGAAGCTGAGGTTGTGGCAGATCAGGCTGGGAGTGCACAATCACGGACCGCCGGAGGTGAACGCACAGAAAAAAAGTGAAGAATTCGACTGTAAGCGATGATATTCAATCACTGTGAGGGTTTGAACGTATCGTAGATCCGCACCAGAAAAAAATCCGAAGCTGTGTTCACACCCAGCTCCCTCTCGCTTCTCAGCGCTCATGTCTGTTGGTGGCCCTATGGTGGGGGGCAGTCTATTTATCGGACGACCAATGCTGACTTCCCGCAAGATACAATTAAGAGAGTCAGCTTTCCCCTAAAGCTGTTTTGAAAATAAAAAAAAATTCCGATAAGAGCAGTGGGGGTAGATGTATAGTGAGCGTGGCGCTGTTTTATCTTGTGCCAATTTGTGCAGAATTAAGTGCTCGAGCTTCCAGTGCCCCCCAGTAAGTGGCATTGCTGGATAGCAGTCCTGATATTGGACGTCTTTTTTTCATTACAAGCTCTTAATTGCTTTAAGGTTCGCGTGTACAAAGACATTGGTGGTTTTTGTGCTCCCATGTCAATTTGCAAGGGAGCAATCTGCAAGTGCACAACAAAAATAGGTCCACGCAATATCATGGTGCGAGTCACCTATGCAGATGCATCTTCTCGTGTTAACACCGCTCATCATGATGAAATCCAATTACCCCGTGAGTCTTCGCGAGCGTAAGTGCTTTGGAAGCGGCGCGGTGCCAGCCGGGGGGAGTGGTGGCACGGTGGCTTGCGCCGGTGTTTATTGTCCTAGCAATCCCCGCTTTCCGAGTCGTCGTCCGAGGCAGTTAACCACGCTGCACGTACGTGGGTACGTTGAACTTCTTTCCCACCGAACGTAGCCAAGCGTGCTAGTCGGAGGTGCGCGGTCATCAGAGAGGCACTTGGCCTCGAGACAAACGCCCGGCCCTCGGGGAGGCCCAATGCGGCTGGGTGATTTGGTGCCACACCTTCACGTGTGCTGTGCCAGTCCCCATCGGCGTTCGCTAGCAGCCGTTACCGAACTCCGAGTTCGCGCCGGGGTGTGGCCTCCAGCATCGTCTAACGTTCTTTCATTGCCTTGCAGCACATTCGTCGCAGGAGATTCAACCACGAGCAACATTCAGTTACGGGACGTTGCAGTGATTTAGCATCGTCCGGCCTTATGCTCAGCTTTAAGAGATCATTACATATGTGCACACGATCTGAAATCCAGATCCGGTGGTTTCATATGGGTTTAATAATTCCCATTAGAGATTTTACAAAGACTTACACATAATTCATCTGCCACTGTTCTCTAAACGGTTCTTCCTCAATGTCGACTGGGAATTCTCACTGCGCAGTTTTAGCAAATGAATAATGGTTCCACATTATTATTGTCGCGTGGTGAGTTGAGAGCATGCACTGGCGATGGTTGGCATAGGTAGCTGCTCCTCACAATCAGCATCTTTATTTATACTGGAGGAATCCGATGAGCTATAAAGCTCTTTTTCACAGATGTGCAGTTGAATGTTCCGAATAAATAAGACGCGAGTGACAGTTCGTGAATGCCTTGTCTGAATCCCCCTGGGTGCTGCTGATTTCAATTTGCAAAAGAAATGTATAATCTGATTAAGTATTTGTCGAAAGGCAATCCAATTTGAGGTGATGTTCCTTGCCGTTGTGCCTCGCTAGGGTTTTTGGAGTTGCGGTCAGGCCTGTTTTCTGGAGAAGGTGACTTTGAGGTGTCGCTGCAGTTCCGCACGGAGAGGCGGGGTGAGATGATCTTGCTGTTCGCCCATGGTGAGGAGGCAAAGTCGTTCATCACGGTAAGTAAAACCAACTCGTTGTTTTTGCGAGTTCACCCTGGTGATAATTTTTGCATTGCTTGCCTCTGTCTCCACATCACTCGTCTCAGCATGAGAGCTGCATCGTGGTCTCGTGTGTGGCGACGCTGTTTTCCCACAGTGTGTGCTCTCTGGAGAGCAGCTCCTGTTTGCCGTAGCCATTGGCTCCCAGACAGCCTTGCTAAATGCGACGGTGGGCAGGAGCTACTGCGACGGGCGTTGGCACACGGTGACAGTCGGCAGGAACGCCTCGTTCATCTCCGCCTCCCTGGATGGCGCACCGGCGGCCACCGCGGTGGGCGTGGTGGGAGACCTAAAGATCACGTCCCCTTTCTACCTGGGTGGTGTGCCACCAGGGCTTCCCGCTGAGGGCCTGCTCCACCACCGCAGCTCCCATCCAGGTGATTCACGTTCACGCACGGCGGGCGCAGTGCAGGCGGCGCCGCGTTCGTATGTCAGTGCGACTTAACTTCATGCCGTGAACGTAACGCCGCCACGCAAAATGTTCAAATGAGCTAAGTTGCTGCCGTCTCGTGATGTCTTTGAGAAGAGTTCGGAGGCTGCGTCGGAGCCGTGAGCCTGATGCGTGGCTCGGCGGTGGAGCTGGTGCCGGCGTCCGTGGGTGCGCGGGGGGTGAGCCTGGACGGGTGCCCCCGGGGGGGCACGGGCGCAGCGTGCGGATCCGCCGAACCCTCGCTTGTCTACAGCGGCACCCGGGGGACGGCGATCGACACGGGGCTCGACGCCTTCACCGGTTCGCGGCCGTCGCACCACACGGCCGAACGTTCGCGTTCGCCTTCGGCACGGGCGGCCGCGCGTACCTACCCGCAAGGCGCTCAAAGCGTTTTGGATGTTGTCGTTTGCGCAGAATACCTGTACAGGGTGACGGCGGTGAACGAAGCCGGGTTTGACGTGTCCCCCTGGGAGAGGGTCAGGAGCAGGGAGGGAGGTGAGTTCCGCTCATCGGCTCAACGAGCCGCTCGCGATGAGGCCCGCTGTGTGCTCCCCGATGGGGTGGGTGGCTTCCTGAGGCGTCGGGCAAGATGCGGAATCAAATTAACAGCGGACCAAAAGTTAAGGTGACGGAAAAAGCGAGGGATGGCATGGGCCGAGAAGGGCCCAGGCAGAGGACGAGGTCAATAACAAGGGCAATATCGTGAGGGTGGCCGTGATTGAGTAATTAGATTGTACAGGAGATACTGTGATTATATTAAATTAACTCAATTTGCATTGAAATCGCTCCCTTTTTAAAGTTTGCTTGCATACATTATACTATTTTATCGGCTTGAAAGATAAAAAAATTGGTTCCTGCACATTTATTGGAAATTAACCCCGAAAGAAATGAATGTCATAATTCAGAAGATAACCGCTAATGCCAAAAAAAGAGGGAATTTTTAAACAGTTTGTTAAAAATCCTAATAATATAGCTAACAGCCAAAGCATGACAAATGGCAAGAGGGGGTGCTGCAGGCACCGTTATTATATGGTGACTAATGAGCTAATTACAGAGAGCTTATTTGATTTACTGATAAAAAAAACCCCTTCAATTCTTCACTCACTTCACTCCTCACTGGGGAGAAAAAAGTCTTTGCACACTTTCGAAAGTGCCGCGTCTGTGCTGTCACCTCGGGTTACCGCGGGTTTCGGTGGAGATAGTGCGCGGGGAATGCCTGCGATGATATGAATGCGCAACAAATCACTGCCCGCTCTCACTGTTCGTGAAGTAATGACCCCAATCAATACACCAAATTAATCAATTATACACCCCTAATCGCACAAAACAAATTGAAGGATACATTTTAATCAATGTAATTACTTATGGTTCAGGCTGGGTACATGATTGGTAATGGATATTGTCTTTGCCTTAATTTATAATTGAAAAAAAAATAAAGTCTAGACTGCAGAGTGACCTCTTGATGCTATCGTTTAGATTCATAAAGGTGGCACTCAATCAAAGTTCGTATACAACGTGCAATACCTCCGTGTACACAGTGCAAACTCTGCACGAGTTTTGTCTAAAGGCACTTACGTGGACGAATATATTTAACTATGTAAAAAAAAAACGAAAGCGGGAATTATCTCGCGGTGAGGAGAAGAGATGGAATTTGAGGACAGGTGGAAGAGCGGCCAAGTGAAATGCAGCCCTTGTCAGAAGGAAAAACAGTTTTTTTTTATTTTGCTTCTCTTACAAGAATTAAACAAACAAAAAAGTCCGCGACCTGTGTGCAATTTTAGGAAAAGCACTGACAATTTAATGAATCACCTGCGACATTACAAGCGCTGCAATGTGTTTATCCTGCTTCAAGGGCTTTCCCATCAGTACATCGAGTAGCCTGCCGGTCTGTGCGCATCGCACAACCAAAGTGCCGGCATTCATTCACGACCCCCATGCAGCAAGGCTGCTGGCACATCGCTCTCATCACCCTCGTCACCCTCGTCACCCTCATCAGTCTCATCACCCTCATCACCCTCATCACCCTCATCATTCTCATCACCCTCATCACCCTCGTCACCCTCATCACCCTCATCACCCTCATCACCCTCGTCACCCTCATCACCCTCGTCACCCTCGTCACCCTCATCACCCTCGTCACCCTCCTCAGTCTCAACACCCTCATCAGTCTCATCACCCTCGTCACCCTCATCACTCTGATCACCCTCATCACCCTCATCACCCTCGTCACCCTCATCAGTCTCATCACCCTCATCACCCTCGTCACCCTCATCACTCTCATCACCCTCATCACCCTCGTCACCCTCATCAGTCTCGTCACCCTCGTCACCCTCATCACCCTCGTCACCCTCGTCACCCTCATCACTCTCATCACCCTCATCACCCTCATCACCCTCATCACCCTCGTCACCCTCATCACCCTCATCACCCTCGTCACCCTCATCACCCTCATCACCCTCGTCACCCTCATCACCCTCATCACCCTCATCACTCTCATTACCCTCATCACTTACGTGCTTGCAAGACTGATCTGTAGTGCTGTAAGTGGAAGGTTGCAAGTTCAAATTCTGGTCAGGGGTTGACTCAGCCCATCAGCCCTTTCGATCAATCAATGCAAGGAGAAACCACTTTGTGAGAAGTCTACGGTGGTTGGTCTATGGTTAGACTCACCCTCACCGTTGGAATGTGGAATTCCCACCGCTAGATTAGGGTTGCCAATGGAGATGAGCACCGCTCGCTCCACGCTTATTTGAGCAGGGGGGGGGGCACTTTGGCCTTGATAGGAGACAATGTAACCATGCTGCCTGACCCTGCGACTTACCCGGCCGCTTCCCGGCTCTGTGAGTGACTTGTCGGTGTGGGTGCGGTGTCGGTGCAGCCCCCGCTGAGGTGAGACCCCCCCACGCTGCCCGCGCCATCACCGCCCTCTCGGCCGAGCTGCTGTGGGCCGAGCCGGCAGTGTTCACCGGTGTCGTCAGCTCCTACGAGCTGAGGGCGTACCACTCAGCCCACCCCGAGCAGCTGCCTGTCACCGCCGCTTTCAGTGACACCGCCTCGTTGGACGGTGAGCTGGTGGCGTGGTCTGTGAGGCCCCCGAGTTCGGACACCTCCGCAAAGTTGGTAATGAGCCAGCCCCTCGTGACGACCATCATCACTTACGGTGAATCTAGCACTTGCCCACACGCTGATTTAATCGCTCCATCTTCCTCCGTGAGCGTGCTCTCCAATGCATTCCCTCCCTTGGCTGCCACTCCGTCATTATTCTTAAATATTGGCCAACATCCCTTGAAGCTAGCTCTACATGGATTACGAAATGAGACGAGGAACGAAAATCGCCACCGTGTGTGAACGTGACTGTGCATGTTGATATGCTGCGCGGTAGTAGGATCGGAGATTCCTACCGGTAACGATTTTTCACCTCAGCCACAGCGTTCATCATTCTATTGTAATACACAACCGGTAGCAAATTTTCCTTTCTGATAGAAAAAAAATGAATGGTGTTGTAGTCCCGCCTGGCTTGTTAAGCGTGCGTGCGTGCGTGCGCGCGTGTGCGTCTGCTGCAGCCCTAGAGGGGAAGCTGGAGGGTCTGACCCCGCACACCAATTACAGCGTGACCCTACTGGCCTGCACGGCGGGCGGCTGTACGGAGAGCAGCGCCTCCCTGCTCGTGCGCACCGCCCGGCAGGGTCAGTGTTGGGGAATCCCTCGCGCCGCCGCCGCCGCCGCCGCCGTTCAGCCCTGCTGCCACCCTAGCTGCCCTCCTCCTCCTCCTCCATGTAACTCGCTTCATTCCGTGTTGGTCATGTGTGTGTGTGTGTGGCGCCAACCTGTGTATATTTAAGCTAGAAATCGTACTTGTCTGGCAATTATAAAACATTATTTCCCAAGGGGGGGTGGGGGGGTGGGTTGTTAATCTTCTCGTGGGTGGCTAGTGGATTACTAATGGGTGGAACAAAAGCAGAACAAATCCTGTCAGGATTTCTCTTGGCCGTGACCACCTCGCGAAGGCTGAGCGTCAGAACAAACGGCGATCGGTGGCGAGAGATCGGCACTCGCCGCTGGGTTTGGCCGGGGTTGGGCTTGCCTTCACTGAGCCAGATCATGGCGAGCAGGGAGGAGAATTTCCCGAGGCATAATTGTTCCATTCATCTTGAAACGAAATGCATTAGGTGCGCTTCTTAAAGGGCCGACGCCATCAGAGACCATATTGAAAATTGATAGGCCTTTTAATTGCTAATGAATTTTCTGTGAAGAGATTTTAATTATAATTTGCTCAAGGCGGTGTGGCGGCTGGCGATTATTCCTGATAAGCTTTCGGTGGTATTTGGACAATGGCCAGTCATAGTTGCTGCGGGTGCGCGCACAGTGAAGACCTTGGAGGAAGAAGGGCCATTGTCACACGCGCGGGGGCTATGCGCGCGTGTGCGACGCCGCTCGCATCGATCCGGTGTTTTGATGACATGCAAATTAAGAGCCACGGAGCCCTCTCCAGCGTGCCTACGTACATTTGAACAGTTAACAAAAGTGTTTTTGCATAATTCAGCATTACCCGTTTAATTAAAATTAATTTATACTTCGAGCCAATTATTTGAAATGCTCAATGAGGTGATGCAGATGCAGTTAAACCTATGAATACTGTTGATTCATTTTTTCCCACCCCCCCTCCATCCTCACCAGAGTCTCGTTGGTGTTGGGTTGCAGTGTTTTTATTCAACCGTTGAATAATATCTCCAGTAAATTTTTGTTACCATTTAAAATGAGAATTGCACAAGGAGCCGCACACACACAAGGTGATACGACAATGTTCCAGCGTGTTGTTCGTCTCCTGCCATGGCCTAGCAGCCGCCTGAGACCTGTTGTTCATCGTCATCATCAACCTCATGCAAAGCAACCGGGGCTCCTCACATGGATGCGCGCGAGATCCCCAAACCTACGTGACTCTGGGCGTCCCCTCGCGCGCGCTTTTGTGATGTGACCTTGGGGCATCTTCCGTAGCTACCACACTGGAGGCGTCGCCGGCGCAGCAGCCCAATTTGCTCTATGCGGGAGCTGCGTGGGTCATTACACCGAGTGCCATTGGTAGTAATCTGTGAGAGAGCTCATAATTTCTTACAAGCTCCTGGCACCTGCCTGATGCGATGATACAAAGACAGGATCCTGCGAAAGACGCATAGTTTTGTTTTCCGTCTCGTCGGTGGCGCAGGTGAATGTTTCATATTTCATGGACAGAAGTGATAATTGATTATTATTATTATTGTTATTGCTGTCTGCCTCCATACATTTGTTTCAAGCTGTGCTGTGTAAGTGGATGATTTACTCCACGTGGAAATGTCTGTGAGTGTACCTGGCTTAATATTCGGTGTGTCGTCCTCAAAAATATCGTCCCTGCATGTTACGTCACGAACTCAAACCTCTTTGTATGCATGTATGTATGTTGAACTTCTTCTGCACCGTACTAATCTGTGCTATCTCATGAACTCTCCTTTCCCTGCTGGGATTTTGCTATCAGTGTGAACGAAATATACTGCTTCAATCAATCGGTCAGTTCGTCAATTCACCAGACAATCAGTCATTCAATAAATCAATTCATCAGTCAAGCAGCTCTTCAATCAATCATTGAAGACAATGCAACTCGGCGAGTCAGTTCTTTAAATCGAGAGCTGGCTGTAGCTTGTGAAAAACACAGAATCCCTCCACATCTTGGCGGTAGCTGTCGAAATACTCTTAAGTGCTCAAATACAAAACGCTACGATTATGTTACCAATGCCTCAAAGTGACATGATTGCAGTAACAGGGCCACGAAAACAATGACATAAGCTAACAGTGTGCAATGCAATACAATTTGCATTTTAACAGCGATTAAATGTGACCGCGTCCCTAGACGCCGTACAACACAGTGGGGGTAATGCATATGAGAGGTGCCTGAGGAAAACTGGCGCTTGAACGTGCAAATACCGCATCACTTATAGCAGTGGAAATATGAAGCTACGGCGTGAGCAAGTCACACACGAGAGCCAACGTTAATTGGTAACGTTTACTTTAGTGGGGAACGTGTGTTTGCAAAACAGGGGCGCGAGTGTAGGCACGCGTGCAGGCGTATGTGAGAATTGTGTTTGCTAAGAAAGATGTGGCTGTTGCAGGGACTGGTCTATGGAAATATTACCGCAAGGCTCTATGGGGGTGACGAACACAGGGTGCCATCCATTTAGTACGTACGCATGGAGGGAGGAGGAGTGGGGTTAACCCAAATGCGTACGCTTGCGTATGGGGGGGGGGGGGTCTACTGACAATGTACGTGTAGAAAACGTGGGAGGGGGGGGTGAAGCCTCGATAATTTGTCTACATTGGCCTTCAAATGAGTTAGATAGTCTGGCGGTGGACTATCTGTTTGCTTAAACACGTTAGTATTACTCTTTGGTTCTTTCGGTAAAGTCACGTAGGTATTTTATTTTCTACCTGCGTGACTTTACCGAAAGAACCAAAGAGTATGGATTCCTGCAGTCACGAAAGCTTCAAATCACGTTAATATTATTAATCCTTGATCGTTTCTGCGTGGATTAAATATCGACCATTCTATAGGATTCGGGGGGGTGGTGGTGGTGCGTCAGGCGTACGTACGCAGGTGGGTGGGGGGGAGGTGTACACACACGTGCGTACAGGCAGGAGGGGTAGGGCTCAAGTTTTGACAGATCTTTACGCGTACCTACTCAATGGATGGCCCCACACAGCCGCAACGCGCGCCGCGCTCGCATTCACTGCCGCATTAAGGATGAATTATTCACTTCAGAGTGCATCGTTGGAGGCAGTAAGGAAAGTTTCGACGCGTCGCAAAGTTCTGAGGCCGGGGCCGCCACCGAGAGTCCGCGTCGGGTTACCGCCGCCGCAAATCATCGTCACCGCGGCCGCTCTGCGGTGATTTTTTTGTTAACGGAGAAAGTTGTTTGGGACGAGGGGCGCGGAGGGTCTAGCCATGGCCGCACTGGCAGCTTCTCAGGGGCCATCCATTGAGTAGGACCGCAGAAATCTGTCAAAACTTGAGCCCTGATCCACCCCCCCTGCCTGTACGCACGCGGACTTTTTACACCCCGCCACCACCACCTGCGTACGTACAGCTTGACGCACACCCCCCCCCCCAAACCCCCGAATCCTATAGAACGGACGATATTTAATCCACGCAGAAACGACTCTCTAACTCATTTGAAGGCCAATGTAGACAAATTATTATCGCGGCTTCACCCCCCTCCCCCCCCCACCCCCACGTTTCCTATGCGTACATTGTGAGTAGACCCCCCCATACGCAAGCGTACGCATTTCGATTAACCACCCCCCCCCCTCCCCTCCATGCGTACTAAATGTATGGCCCCCTCACCTCGCGTGTCTAGCAGCGTCCGAGTCTGTGCCGGCGCCCGAGGCCACGGCGAGCGCCACCTCCCTGCTGCTGTCATGGCCACCCCCGCGAGAGCCCCGAGGGGTCATCACCCACTACTCGCTCTACCGCGACGAGGCGCTCGTCTACAAAGGCACGGGGCGTGCCGTCAACATCACAGGTCAGCTGCACAGCGAGGGAGGACTTCCTCTGTCAGCCGTCTCACGGTGGACGGCGGAGTAGCCTCGTTTGCATGGGCACCTGAGGGGCCGTCCATAAATGACGTCACGCGATTTTGGACGATTTTTGACCTCCCCGCCCCCCACCCTCGTCACACGGCGTCACAAAAAGTCAGACCCCCCCCCCTCAAATATGACGTCACAAAGCTCTGCCCCCCCCCCTCCCCCCAAAAGCATATTTCCATTTTGAAAATAAAACATGCTTCAGATCGCTTTAAAATATTGTCATTGTAGTGCGTATTTAATGTGGCGCTGTACTCTGATGTTGTAGGAGTGTTGTTATAACAATTAATGTTGTTATAACAATTCTATATTTATTTAAAGTTGCGCATTGTGATGTGACGTCACATTTCTCAAACCTCCCCCCCCCCTCCCTCGTCACACATCGTCACAAAAATTTGACCCCCCCCCCCCCAGGTGCGTGACGTCATTTATGGACGGCCCCTTTTGCTTGTGCACCACTGCCAACGCAGTAACAGCCACGTGTCCCTGTTGAGCCTGCCAGAAATGTGAATAGCTTTAGGATTGCAGGCACGCGTGTGTGCGCCCCAAACCCACCTCCCATCGCGTGGGCTCCATGTGTCTCCGCCAGGCCTGGGGGTTTTCTCCGTGCACACATTTGTGCTCTCGGCCTGCACGGAGGGCGGCTGCGCGAACAGCTCCGCCGTGACGCTCACCACCACCCAGCTCCCACCGACACACGTAGCGGCACCCACACTCAGCGTGCTGGACGCACACTCCATCAACGTGCAGTGAGTCCATCACCGTGCTGTGAGTCCCATCACCGTGCCGTGAGTCCATCACCGTGCAGTGAGTTCCATCACCGTGCAGTGAGGTCCATCAACGTGCAGTGAGTCCATCACCGTGCAGTGAGTCCATCACCGTGCAGTGAGTCCATCAACGTGCAGTGAGTCCATCACCGTGCAGTGAGTCCATCACCGTGCAGTGAGTCCATCACCGTGCAGTGAGTCCCATCACCGTGCAGTGAGTCCATCACCGTGCAGTGAGTCCATCACCGTGCAGTGAGTCCATCACCGTGCAGTGAGTCCATCACCGTGCAGTGAGTCCATCACCGTGGAGTGAGTCCATCACCGTGCTGTGAGTCCCATCACCGTGCAGTGAGTCCATCAACGTGCAGTGAGTCCATCACCGTGCTGTGAGTCCATCACCGTGCAGTGAGTCCATCACCGTGGAGTGAGTCCATCACCATGCAGTGAGTCCATCACCGTGCAGTGAGTTCCATCACCGTGCTGTGAGTCCATCACCGTGCCATGAGTCCATCACCGTGCAGTGAGTCCATCACCGTGCAGTGAGTCCATCACCGTGCAGTGAGTCCATCACCGTGCTGTGAGTCCATCACCCTAACGTGAGTCCATCACCCTGCAGTGAGTCCATCACCGTGCAGTGAGTCCATCATCATGCAGTGAGTCCCATCACCGTACAGTGAGTCCATCACCGTGCAGTGAGTCCCATCATCCTGCTGTGAGTCCCATCACCGTGCTGTGAGTCCCATCATCGTGCTGAGTCCATCACCGTGCAGTGAGTCCATCATCATGCTGTGAGTCCATCACCCTAACGTGAGTCCATCGCCGTGCCGTGAGTCCATCACCGTGCAGTGAGTCCATAAACGTGCTTTGAGTCCATCACCGTACGGTGAGTCCATCACCGTGCAGTGAGCCCATAAACGTGCTTTGAGTCCATCACCGTACAGTGAGTCCATCACCGTGCAGTGAGTCTATCACCGTGCAGTGAGTCCCATCATCATGCTGTGAGTCCCATCACCGTGCTGTGAGTCCATCACCCTAACGTGAGTCCATCACCGTGCAGTGAATCCATCACCGTGCAGTGAGTCCATCACCCTAATGTGAGTCCATCACCGTGCAGTGAATCCATCACCGTGCAGTGAGTCCATCTTCGTGCGGTGAGTCCATCACCCAAAGTGAGTCCCATCACTGTACAGTGAGTCCATCACCGTACAGTGAGTCCATCATCGTGCGGTGAGTCCATCACCGTGCTGTGAGTCCATCACCGTGCAGTGAATCCATCACCGTGCAGTGAGTCCATCACCGTGGAGTGAGTCCATCATCGTGCAGTGAGTCCATCACCGTGCTGTGAGTCCCATCACCGTGCAGTGAGTCCATCATCATGCTGTGAGTCCATCACCGTACAGTGAGTCCATCACCGTGCAGTGAGTCCATCACCGTGCAGTGAGTCCATCATCGTGCAGTGAGTCCATCACCCTAACGTGAGTCCCATCACCGTTCGGTGAGTCCATCATGAGATCTATCCATCGTTGCCATTTTAGTTCAAAATCGTTAGTTTACTGAAAAGCGGATGAAGGAAACAAAAAATGTAAGTGTAAAAGTGTTTTCTGGGCTACTCACATTTACTTAAACATAAATAATTTGAAGTATGATGGAGTGTTGTTTTTATTAACACAATAGCTACTGTTATGAATGTGGCGATTGTACAGCGCGCCCCACTCGGGTTGTGTGAGCTTGACCTTTGCCCCCTTGCAGGTGGAGTGAGCCCCTAGAGCTGAATGGGGAGCTGCAATGCTACGAGCTCTACGCCATCGGGGACAAGCCCGGGGAGGAGGAGGAGGAGGAAGGCTCCACGTGGCCTGGTGATGGAGAGAAGCCCCCAATGTGGCCTAAGCAGGTGGTTGAGGTTCATTATGAGGAGGATGAGGGCCAGGACGAGGCGGCCGTGGCTAGAGGAGGCGACCCCCTGGCCTTGCCAGCTTTGGCCTACGGGAGGCTCTTGTACAGAGGCGGAAACGTTACCGTGGAGCACAGTCTGCGGCAGCTCATCCCCGGAACTCTGTACCAAATCCGGGTAGCTGTGAGTGTCTCTCTGCACCACTCTGCAACACGATCGTTGCCACTTGCTACGGCTCAATTTCTCACACTTTGTAGCTCAGTTACTTAGCATCGAACGACACTTTGTTGTTTATTTTGCGTTTCCCGTGGCCGTGGATTACATGCGCATGTACAGCCCTTTGGCACAATGCACCGCAACATGAGGACCTCCCCACGCATTGCAGGTAGTTTTAACCATACTTCACCACTGCTGGTGAGCGTGGGTTGGTGAAGGCGAGGGAACACAGAAGTACAGCGCAACACTGGACTTTGCTGCATTGCCGTCAATGGGCCAGGACGCAGCCCAATTGTAACTTGCGGTGAGGGTGAGCGTGGATCGAGGCAGCGGGCGTGCATGCGTGCTGTGCGTGGCGTTGGCGTGGCGTTTGTAGGCGTGCACGCTCGGTGGGTGTCGCGTCAGTGAGCCGAGTGCCGCCCGCACGGAGGAGGCGGCTCCGGAGGGGGTGGCGCTGCCCGTCGTGCGGTCCCCAGCATCAGGCTCCCTGCTCGTGTCCTGGGGCCCACCCGTCCGGCCCAACGGTGACAGCCCTCGCAGGCCCACGCGCCAGCGTATACGCCACGCACACCAACAGACACACTGTCATACGCATACGTGCCAAAGCATACGCGCCGATATATGTACACCAGCGTATGCACAACCGCGTACAGCAACATTGGTAGCAAGACACAAGTCAACATTTTTGCATGGCCCAAAAACAACTACACTCACGCGCATTGTTCCCAGGCATTGGGTCGGCGCTTGAGTCCGTTGGTAGCCATGCGTCAATGGGGAAAATTCCACGTTCCCATGGTGAAGGGTGGTATTTAGAAAGGCAACCACTTGACTTTCCACAGAGTTACATTTGAAAAAATATATATACATTTGATTGAAAACAAATTACAGAATGTGTCTCAAGTGCCTAACCAATCATAATGCAGACATGATTCCCTGTTAAAGGTTTCAGTTTGGTGTTTTAACATCTTAACACCTGTTTTGTTGCCAGAAAAAAGGGGAAAACCTATTCTCATATTTTGGTACTGGCAAAGGAGGTCCCATAATGCCTAACTAAGACTGAATATTTGCCTTTCTCATGTTTTGCGTTGGTAATTGAAGGATGGGATAATCATTGGGCTGCAGTGGATGCTGCTCTGGACTCCGTTTGATCAGCTTATCCCAAATCGCGTCATTGCATCACAAAGCGAAACTCTGACTGGGCTACGTCTCGCACAGGAACACACGTCTTCGCGATCCCGCACGATGAGCAGCAATTCAGTGCAAGCGTCCCCCTCTCAATATTTGGTTGCATTACTAAATCAAAACATTCGCTTCTTAATCCAAAACCAACGCAGAGCTTTACATGCATAAGCTTGCGTATAAATGTACGGCATTGTGAAATCTACAAAACTGTCCTATCATTCGTGGCTTGAGCTGGGAGTCACTCGGCGCAGGTTTGCGGTACCGAGGTCGCCTCGACCGTGGCTTCGTTGGCAACTCAGGCGCTTTCCCCGGCCGTCTGCTGACACCTGCTGGGCTTGTTGGCGGCTGCCACAGCTTGGCGCTCTCGCTAATAAATGGAGCATGTCGCGGGCATTGCCGCGGCTCCTCCAACGGCGCCGTCGGTTAACGCGGTTGATGGCGTGCCTTGGCAGGGGTGATCACGAGCCACGGGCTGCTGATGAACGGCAGCCTGGTCCACGACTCGCCGCACTCCCTGAGCTACCGCGCCACCGGGCTTGCGCCGTGGAGCCCGCACACGCTCAGGGCGCGCGCGTGCACGGCGCGCGGCTGCGCTCTCGGAGCCCCGGTGAGTCCCGGCTTTGGGGTCGCGGCCAGGCCGAGCGAGCGCGCACCAGGCCGGCACCCCCACGGCTCGGTCATAGGGCGGCACGCCATGCCTCACGAGCCTCGCTCACGCATGCCCTGTAGCGACGCACGCCGACGTCGCCGCTATTGCGTACTTACAAACAGTTCGTCAATTGCGGAGCAAATTGTCCGCGCGCAGTGCGGACACCGATTCGAGTCAGGAGGAGGTGCGCACATGAAGGATGTGATCGCAGAGCAGGGCTTGGCACGGGCGTGCCCACCGCACTCGGCGCTCAGCCCCACGTAGGTGAGGAACGGGATGCAGGGCTGGTCTATGCGAGCGAGCCCGGGCTCCGCAACGTGGGGGACCGGCCGGTCAGCGTTTGACCCCTATTTGTCTGCTGCGCCGCAGATGCCCTAGCTTCGTATTCCGCTTCCGGAGATATGAGCTGCAAATTTTCCCTTAGAGAGCCCCCTTACTTACCTGCAATATTGCTGCTAAAATTAGCATTAACACCTCGTGCCTAGCAGGCACTTTATGCTCGAGTGTAATAATTTACAGTCTCTGTGGGTGATGCTAATGAGCCATGCCTCTGGGGTCCTCCGGAACGAGCTCAAAGCAGAACCAGCAAACTTGATATGTAGCTGATTAATGTTCAGCAGTGTCCAGTTAGAAGCAGCTCATTTAAATAACTATTTTTAGAAAATTGATTTTGGCTGTCTGTGAATGGAGCTCTGTTTGCTTTATTGGAGTAAAACTCTTAGGACGGCAGAAATGTATTCTATCTCTCCACCAGTATAAGCCTCACTTGTTTGTTATGTGACAACTGGAATGGCACAATTTGTGGCATTCTGTTACATGTATGTATGTGTCCATGCATGCACGATTCCCACTCACGGCCAACACTCGTGACGATAATCTGAATTCTGTTTTGGGCCTCCCCTCGGTCGACTCAGCCTCAAAGGATTACCTGATGCGATGTGTAAACATTGCCACTGGGGAGACTAAGGCGGCTGGGCGTGGTGGTGGCCACCCACCCCTTCGTGTGCTGTGCCGGCCTTCATAGTTGCTCGCTCACAGCACTTTCCCCAACAGTCTGTTCAGGCTAGAGGGGGAATCTTAGTCTTTTGTGCATGCTTGCCTGCATTCAGGCATGTGTGCTTACACACCGCAAGGTGGTGCATCTGCCAGTCCTGTTCCGTGGCCACTTGCAAACAAGCGTTTGACACTTCGCTTAGCTTCCAAAGTGCGCCTAGCCTGGCGCAATAACTGTGGCTAGTGGCAGTCGTCATTGTGGGTCCTTTTACGTGCAATGGTTTGTGTGCACCTATGTGTACGCACACGTGTGCACGTGCGCGTTTGTGTGCGTGTGTCTGTTTTTGTGTCTAACCCTGACCCGTACCCGCGCAGGTGGAGGTGCGCACACAGGAGGCCGCCCCTACAGGTCACGTGGAGCTGAGAGTGGCCACAGAGGACGCACGCACGACTCGGGCCATGTGGCTCGGACCCGCGCAGCCAAACGGACGACTCACCTACAGCCTCACGTGCATGGGGCCCTTCTACAGCCGCCCTGGTGGGTGGCTTACGCGACAGGTCACAAACACAAAGATAAAGACCACGATCCTCCGTGTAGCCTCAACAGACCTTTGGGGCAAGTGCTGCCAGCGAGTAGCACCTAAGAAGGCCGGCACGGCACACACGTACACACACACTTCACGTACACACACACACTTCACGTACACACACACTTCACGTACACACACACTTCACGTACACACACTTCACGTACACACACTTCACGAACGAGCCGACTCTGTCCTGCCACAAGAACATTGTCCTCAGACATCGAGTATCAATTTAACATTTGCTTTCCTAATCAATATTCATGTATAGCTGGAATGTAAATATTAACCCTCCCAGGGAATTGATAGATTTTCACAATTCGGGGGTCACAATTTGCTTCATGATTGTTTTGCCTCTTTTTCCCAATCTCGTTTGCATTGATTTTAAATGTTTTCCCATTACTTTATTTCCCCCAAATATATAGGATTCACTTGTTATTTAACAAATGATTATTTTTCACACAAATTCAATGCTTGTCGGCGTCGGGATCGATTTTAACCGATTAATTTGCGCGGCGTCTCCCCTCCTTCCCTCCGCCCTAACGCGTGAACGCGTCGCACGCTCACGCGTTTCCAGAGAGCGGTGACTCCAGCGTGGTGGAGGAGTCTCGCGAGGTCCACAGTGGACACGAGGCCGGCGTGTGGGTGTTGGTGCGAGGCCTCGTGCCGCTGTCGTCCTACTCCTGCTCCGTGAACGCCTCCAACAGCCGCGGCCACGTCCTGAGCAACCGCGTGGCCACGCGCACCCCAGCCGGCGGTCAGCTGAGGCCGTGTGTCGCACGGCACAGCGCACTCTGCTCACAGTGCATGGCACTCGCAGCGCGCTGTATCATAAATCACAGCGTTTGACACAGAACACACACATATTGGGTTTAAAAACCCACAAACTTGGGTCTGTCATATGTGTTTGTCGGAAGCATTTCGACAAAATGAAATCTAAATTGCGATGGAATTATTTTCCTAAGGCCATTGCCTTTTCTGCTTCCTTGTGCTGCCCATCTGCTTCCCCACGCGCGCTGCCCCCCCCCCCCCGCGCGCTACCCCCTGCCCGCTGCCCCCCCCGTGCGCTGCCCCGTCTGTTTCTCACTCACGTCCCGACGGTGCGCGTGCGCAGCCCCTGACGGCGTGGAGGCCCCGAGCCTGACAGCTGTCAACTCCACAGCCGTGCGGGCGACATGGGGGGCCCCGGCCCCGAGCAGTGCCCCGGGGGTGCTGCTGTACCAGCTGCAGATGCGCAGAGCAGGTGTCCCCGATGGCGTCGCAGAGTAAGACGCCGCTGTTGCTGCTGCTCCGCTTAGTGGCTCTGCGGAGGCCATCGCCCCCCGAGAAGCTAGCATGAGCGTCGCGTTGTTATGGGCTCAGTAACCTCAATGCCAAACACAAGCGCTCATTTTAGCTTTGTTTTTTTTTATTGTACCAGTGCTGTTCCATTCCCGTGCAAACTTGACACGAGTGCGAGCGGTCGTACTTTCTTGTCCCAAAGTGTAAATGAGCACAGAGTCGAATGCTGATGCTGTGGCGTACGTGCTGGTCTCTCCCCTCTCTCTCCCCCTCTCCCCTCTCTCCGCCTTGGCCGCAGTCTCTTCCTGGCACCGTCCACAGCCTCCAGTATCACTGCGGCCGCACTGCAGCCTCACACGCGCTATGAGTTTAGATTAATTGCGTATAACAATGTTGGCAGCGGCACGAGTAACTGGAGCCAAGTGGCCACACACGAGGACTGTAAGTGGACGATGTACTCTCTGTTATGGGCCTCTGTGTGAATCCTTACACTGTTAAATGCGGTTCATTAAAATTAATACAATTTTTTACTTTGAACGCTGCGTCATTAAACAGCTGTGCATTGCTTTAAAAAAAAGATATGGATGAGTTTATTTCCTATGTTATGCAGTTGCATATTTAATTGTGTGCCCATGTTGCATCCTGGAAAGTCACCATCCCTGAGTAAGTGAGAGTAGCGTGTGTTTGCGTGAGACTCTGGTTCACTGGCTGTATGCTGATACCTCCAGCTCCTGGAGCAATGGAGGCTCCCACGGTGTCTGTCCTGGACTCCAGCACGGTGTCACTGCGGTGGCAGCGCCCGGCGCAACCCAACGGCAGGCTCTCCCACTACGGCGTCTACTGCAACGGTTCCCTCTGTGGCTCCGTGCCCGGCACCGGCACGGAGCTGGCTTTCAGAGCGGGCGGCCTTCGCCCCTTCTCGCCGTACGCCTTCGCCGTCGAGGCCTGCACGCTGGCGGGCTGTTCCCGCTCGCCGGACTCGCCGCCGGTGCGCACCCTCCCTGCCAGCCTCGACGAGGTGTCGCCGCCGCCGCCGCCGCCGCCGCGCTCCCCCACGCCCAGCTCCGTGCTGGTGGCGTGGCGCCGCCCGCGGCAGCCCCCCGGCCGCGTCGTGAGCTACGCGTTGGAGCGCCGCCGCGCCGGCTCGCGGCTCGCCTCCGCTGTGGCCACGTGGCCGCCGCACGACGAGGCGGACGGAGCTGGAAAAGAGCCGGAGCGCCCGGACGAGTCGCCCGACCTCGTTCCGTGGACCGCGTACGAGCACCGCGTGCCGGTCGGCACCGCCGGTGGTGTTGCGGCCGGCAGCGAATGGAACCGGGTGACAACGCGGCACGCGCGCCCCGGCGGGCTGCGGCCGCCTCGCTTGGAGGTCTTGGGGCCCGACAAGGTTTCCGTACGTGCCCCTAGCACGCGCCCTCACCCGCACCTCCTGGCAGCGCGCGCCGCCGCGGTCGCCGCAACCGGGCACGGGCCTCACCTGCGCCTGCCGACTTTGCAGGTGCAGTGGGCGCCGCCTCTGCAGCCCAACGGCCGGCTGGCGCGCCACGAGCTGCTGGCGCAGGGCGCGCGGGCCGTGATCGGCGACCCCTCGGTGCTCGCGCACACGCTCACGGGCCTCGTCCCCTTCACCGACTACGCCGTCAGCCTCCTGGCCTGCTCGAGCGGGGGAGCGGACCGGCCCGAGATGGCGGTGGGCCAGGCAGAGAGGCCGGGAGACGCGGTGGGCACGGATGCACCCGAAGAGGCGCTGTGCACGGAGAGCGATCGTGCCCACGTTCGCACCCCGCCGGCGGCCCCCGAGGGGGTCTTTCCGCCTGTGGCCACGCCGGCAAGCAAGTCTCTCGTCGTCCTGTCCTGGCAGCCGCCCGCCCGGCCCAATGGACCCCGGCTACGGTAACCGAGGCGGCCAGCGTCGTAGAGCTCACGCTGCTCGCATCTACGAACGTGTACGCTTTGTGTGACATCTTCACAAAAACACGCGTGGTCGCAGATGGACGGTGGTTAAACGGTAATCGGGCTTGAGAGAATAAAAACACGTCTCGCTGTGCTTGGAATACAATGTCCTTGCTACCAAGTTGTCTGTGTGTCGCGCCCTGGCAATTTGCGCGCGGCGAGAGGCATTCTGGACGCGTGAGAAGCCTGTGCCGCGTGCCATGTGCTCTGCAGATACGAGCTGCTTCGCTGCAAAGTGGAGCAGCCCCTGTCAGTGTCTCCTCCGAGAGACATAAACCTGTGGATGAGCATTTATCTGGGAACAGATCTTTCCTTCGAGGATAAAGGACTCAGCAGGTAATTAATGGATAACGATTCCTCGAGGCACCAGTTTCATGGCGCCGGCATTGTTTAGAGTCGTGATTTATGTGATTTACGATGCTGGGTGTCTGGGCTCCGTTACTGCTACTACGACTAGCAACCTCTCCCCCCCCACCCCCACCCAAAAAAAAAGCACACAGCCTGGGACGCTTTACAAAGTGCTTCACCGTTAGACTTTGTCACTCGAATCCAGTGGCGCATTTCAATTCGGTTTCACAGTTGAGCAGCTGTAGTTGCTGCAGCACTGCAGTGGGCGTGGGAAGCGGTAGCGTAGCGGCTTGCACGCTGCGCCACAAACCCAGATGCCCGAGATAGATTCCCGCTCACGGTCAACATAAGTGACGATTACCTTAATTGCCACAAGTTGGCAGCCTGAGACGAGCCCGAAGTGTATTTCCAGATTTTTTTTTGTCGATCCGCTGCTGGATGAGGGCCTCTATACACTGTACGGGTCACGGAGGTTATTTGACCATACTTCACCACGTTGATTAGTGTGCGTCGGTGAAGGCGTAAGGCACATACGTGGCAGCATATAAGTACAGTATAACAAAATATTTTTTTTACTTCACTGCCTGACACGTAACCGCCGCAGCCTGTAACAATCTGTTGTGCATGGTGGTCACGCATCCAATAATTATTCACGCTCACACCTGCTTAGTTTCAAGATCTGAATTGTGGGCACATTCACCGGTGATTTGGCCCTAAGCAGACCCCGTAGCATATGCATCGCGTATACAAGCCCTACGTTTGCCGAATACATTGACATCTACATCGTTAGAGCAGTTGGCTTGTTGGCTGTTTCACCGTGCGCGTGGCCCTGACACGTCTCCGTTGCTGGGCTCGGCAGGTTCACAAGGTACGCCTACCGCCTGCTGGTTCACAACACGGCAGGCTCAGCAAGCAGCACACCCGTGCTGACCGACACCCTGGCCGGCGTGCCCCTGTCCGGGAGCCATCTGGAAGCACGCGCCCTCAACCACACGGCCCTAGTGGTCAACTGGACCCGCCCCGGTCCGTGGCAGCCCTTAGCGCAGTTCTCTTAATATTCAGACAAGAGCCCATTGAGACCACACATCGCACCGCAATTGCCTGTTCCCTCCCGATAAACTGTGCGGTCATGGTCGTTTACAAAAGGTAAAATTTTGAATGTAGTTGATAAGCAGACTGGTTGTCTGACACGCAGACGTTAGTCATTAATTCTTCGTCAAAAAAAATAACTGCCTTGTATTGATTTGGTGTTTAGAATATTTAGCCTTCTAAGACTTTCTGTCAGCAGTCACTCCGTGGAAGGTCGCTCATTCAGTTATGCTGCCCCCGTTGTTCAGAAATGCCTTCCCCCAGCCATTTGTGCTGTCGACTTCCCACCCGTTCCATGGCAGGTTCATGAATGACTGCCTCCCTGCTTCTCTGCACAGCGTCTTGGAATGCGGTCGCATTTAGATCCCGTTACGCATCCACGTATTGTTCTATTGCTACGCTAAACGCTTCTGAGTTGCTTTGCGCCGGCACGCGAGAGTGGCATGACTATGGGATGTGTCTGGGGTGCCGGTGCGCGTGCCTTGACAGGACTCGCCGAGCTGCAGGGCGCCGTCACCACCTACACCGTCTCCATCAACAGCAGCTTCTCCGCGCGCTCCCTGCAGTTTCCGCCGGACGCAGAGCGCGCGGTGATCGCGGGGCTGAGCGCCGGCACGCTGTACCGCGTCTCGCTGTCCACATCCAACGGGGCCCACGCTGTCACCAGCACCCCAATCCACGTGGTCACGCCGGACGGAGGTGAGCGCCGGGCGAGACCCCCCCCCCCGTGCTCTCGGGGAAGGGGCGGGGGGGGTGGGTGGACAGAGTGAAAGAACAGGCAACACCGAGGCAATCGATTTTCCGTGAGGGCGCGGGGGGCAAGTGGGCCTCTCATCTTCGCTACGCTAACATTTCCTGTTGCTGGCCGGGGGCAGGTCAAGTGGTAAAAGCTTTAGTTGTCACAAGACGAGAAATCAATAGTGGTCCCAGCGAGAGGAGCACGGGGGCCCTGGGAGTTGATGCTGTGAGGAAGCGATTGACAGAGGCGACCACACGTGGCTCACGTCGCTTCAATGCAGCTCGTGCACTCGCCTGAGATAATTCTTAAGACTATAGCTGCTGTGTCTCAGGTTGCTTTTTGACCGTGATTTATTAATTAGTTGAATGCTTAAATATGCAATGTACCTGATAAACAGACAGCATCACTTGTCGTGGTGTTTATAGCATGTTTCACAGCCTTCAGTCACAAAGTCAATGGCATTAGAAAATAATGACAAAACAATTCATTCCATCCATTCATTGGTCACATTTTTTTCACCAACAAAAAAAAAAACCACCACGAGCGATTTCTTACCAAGAGGAGTGCATTTTAAAAGCAAAACGGCGATATTTTGGGATTATCGTACGACCATCAATTATCGCTGAGCTGTGTTTGTGCGTGCGTGCGGATCCATCCAAGGTGTACACGACAGAGCCTCGGTTTTGCGTTTGTGGACACGAGCGAGGGGTTTCCGGCGCGCGGCCCCGCGGTGTTTAGACTCGTGTGCGCCGCATCTCAATGGTGCATTAACGTGTCTCGGCAGTGTTTGCGTATCATGCCTCTCTGATGTTCACGCCTAGGCAGACTCCCAGGTGCTCACACGTCCGTGCGCAACGTCTCAATGGTATTTTAAATTTCCGTGCAGCGTTCATGTCGCGCGACATGTATCGGTGTCTCGGCAGTATTTGTCAATGCAAAAAAGGGACGATCTCTCGGAATCAGAATCTGTATTTATCCTGGAGAAATCCGATGAGCTATGAAGCTCTTCTTCACAAGATGTCCAGTGCAGAGGAAGGACAACAAACTAAAGTTCTAAATAAATTAGTTTTCCATACAGATTTAAAAGTGCATAGCTCCAGTGGCTTCCTAATACCAGAAGGAAGAGCGTTCCAGATAGCCGGAAAAGCGCATCTGAAAATTGCGCGATGCAGTGACTGTCTTTTTTTCGATGGCGAGCCAAAAGCCGCTGTGAGGAAGACCGAGATCAGCAAGGACGAGATCAGCAAGGACGAGATCAACAAGGTAATAACTAATCATGAAAATGAGTGACGGGGAGTTATTGAAGAACTTAACCACAGAGTGCTGCAATGTGTGGCACGAGATATATCTGATGTCAAGTGCAGCAAGTTCATTGAAAATAAAAATAAAAATACGGTCGGAGGGAAACAACTGGAAAGCACTGAAAACGTAATATCCAGCGGAATTATTGAAGGTGGTCTATATCCAAATGATGAAATAAAGAGGAGAAGGAAAGCAAGAACGGTGTGCTTTTGGAAAACTGAAATGGATAATGAAAAGCAACTTCCTGGAAAGGAACAATTTCAATCGGTGCATATCACCTGCCACATGCGTGTGATCAAAAGCATGGGCAATCACAAAGGAAAATGGAACAGAGGCTGACGAGTACCCAAAGATGCATGTATAGATGCAAGCGGGACATTATAGTGAGAGACGGAGAAAGGAACACCTCGATCAAGGAACAAACAGATCAGAGTCAACATATTGACTCTTTAGGAAAGCATGTGAGCTTGGGAAGGAAACATGATTAGAAGGGACGATGGTCAATAAACAAGACCGGTAACTGAATGGCAGCCAAAGCAGGGAACACACCCTATAGGATGTTAAAACAAATTATTTTTTTCAACAGCTAAAGCCCACTGAGCTATGAAGCTATTTTTCAGAAGCAACGTGGCCACAAATGATAGCGCAACGACGTGGCTTATCACGCGATAATTTATAGCAGCCAAATACTCGAAACGCGTGTTAATAAATGTGGAGGGAAGATGCGCCAGGGTCGGGATCAAACCCATGAGCTCCTGCATACCAGGCGACAGAGGTAACATCTCGCCACTGACGAGATTGGAGTGACGACATCTGGTCGTGTGCAAGAGCAATACGGATTGTAGCATTACAGGACTGTATGAAATGGAAACAGCAAAGGGGCGGGCCATCATCCACCAGTGGCTAGAACATGGCACACAAACACGGACCGCGTCTTCGCAAATATTTACATTCGTGTGCTCCGTGGCTCGCACGATGTAAGCTCCTTGTCCGCGTGGTGCACGCTTCTCCGTCAGTGCCGGAGGGGTTGGCGCCACCGCAGGTGGAGGTGCTGAACGGGACGGCGGTGCGGGTGGCGTGGGCGGCCCCGCCGCGCCCCCAGGGCCGCGTGACGTCATACGCGGTGGTGGTGGATGGGCATCGGCGCAACACCGGCTTCCAGGAGCCCGGCTCCACCATCGTTGGCGACCTCCAACCCTTCACCGCTTACAGCATACAGGTTGCGACCCTGCGTGTCATGGATTTTAAAGGTCTACCTGCATTGGGTAGTGGTCATGTCCCTTGTTGGGGCTCAGCCAGTTATGTAAATTCCACATTAATGTGCCAGGGCCAGTGGTAACCAAAGTACAATAACTAATGACTTCCCACAAAGTGGTGCTGATTTTATCACTCTGGAGGGATATTGATGGCCTGAGTTGACTCTTGACCGCGATCCGAACTGATGACCTTGCAGATGTGAACTGCATACTTTTGCCAAAGCGACATCCAGCCAGGTTGTAAAAATATCCCTTCTAAATAAAGGGGGGTTTGCATTGAGTGTAATTTTATTGTCACATGCACTTAGCATAATTATTTTAAACAGCTTGTCAAAAAGTATTGCTTTTACATGTCCTGCTGCTAATGAGTAATGATTCGCAAAGTCAATGATTGAAACATGCTCATGGAACTTTATAAGCAACTGGTAATTAAATCACTCGAGTGCTTTGGATAAATATAGCTTTGGAAGCGTCTTAAAAAGATTGAATCCACAGAACAGCAGAGGCCCTCTAATCTGAATTAATTATCAGCAGAATCTAACCGGACTCACAAGAACCGCTGACAATTGGACGGCGATTATAAAACCCTGGCAGGGCAAGCGATGCCTTGCATGCAGGATATATGTCGCATTTGGGGAGCAGTCAAAATATTATTGTAATAGTATAATGGAGATACGAGCCTCATGTTTGAGTACGGTCGTGTGGTCACCTGTGCTGCAGATTATCTTGCGTGACGCTGCCAAGCGGAACCACGAGGGTTGAGGATGGGGGTGGGCTTCACAATATTCCTAGTGTTGAGCTGGCGGCGTGAGTTCATCTCCAGTAGTCTCAGCCACCTTGTAAAGCACTAATTAGAAATAGTGCATACATTCTATTTTAGTGCCGTTTACGGGGGGGGGGGCTGTCCGGTGCGGATGCCCCGCTACTGATGTGATGTGTGTAATTGGCCACCGGACTTATTAGCGCTCACCATTCTCATTAACGCATCGCTCAAGCTGCGTCGCGCGTCAAGGAGAGCTGGGTGTCGTGGCCTCAGTGGGTGGCGGGGTGGGGCGGTTGAGGGCACGGATGTGCGGATGCTGAAACGGACACTACCGCTTCGCTCCTCCAGCGCGTGAGGGGTGCCTACTGCTGCTGTTTGTGTGTACGTGTGCGTGCGTGCGCGTCGGCTGCAGCTGGAGGTGTGCACGCGCAACGGATGCTCGCTCAGTGACGCCGTGGCGGTGGTGACAGTGGAGGAGGAGCCGCAGGACGTGTTTCCACCACATCTCGGGGTCCTCGGCTCAAGGTCAGTGTCCATGCCGTCCCCGCTTTCCCCCCCACCCCCCCCCCCCCCACTGTCACCCCCCCCTCCAACCACAAGCCCCCACCCCCCTCCACTGAGCTTCACCGCAATGCGGATTCAAACTCTGTCCCAGCCATCACCCACAAATAATTATCCCCCAAGACAGGGTAACGGCGGTGCGTCGCTTTGAATAAGGCCCACTTGCACTGCCAGAGGTGTGAAGGTGCAAGAGTCAATTAAAATTACATTGACGGCTCTGATTTAATTCCAACGATGTAGCAATCGTTTACACGGAAAAGCCTCGGGGAGCGATGCCAGGGCCGGAGCCGTGGCTCTTTAATTGAACCCGACGACGTGACAGTACGTAACATTGCCTTCTGTGTTGCTGAGCTTCGAGAAGGAAAAATATCTTGGAGAGAATAATGAAAGGGCCTCGCTATGTTTCGCGGTATTGAAAGGGAATCGTCATGATAACGTGAGCCATGTTTACACTCGAACATTGTTTTTTAAACTAAATTACCAACTGATGTGTGTGCTTAAATGAGAGGAAGAACGACGAGGCGTGCGTGTGTGTGTGTGTGTGTGCGTGTGTGTGCGTGTGTGTGCGTGCGTGTGTGTGCATGTGTGTGCGTGCGTGTGTGTGTGTGCGTGTGTGTGTACGCGCGTGTGTGTGTGTGTGTGTGCGTGCGTGCGTGCGTGTGCGCACGTGAAGCGCCGTGCGGGTGGAGTGGGACCTCCCCGGGCGCCCACGTGGCCTCCTGCGGGCGTTCTCCGTGCGGCGCAGCGCCCAAGTACCGTGCGCTCACCGCGCGGAGGCCTCGTGTCCGCAGGGAGAGCGCACGGACAGGGATCAAACGTGCGGCTCTGCCTGTTACTCCCCTCTCACACAGGTAACACAGTCTCCGATACCACTCCCCTCTCACACAGGTAACACAGTCTGCATTACCACTCACCCGTCACACAGGTAACACAGTCTTCATTACCATCCCCTCTCACACAGGTAACACAGTCTGCATTACCACTCCCCACTCACACAGGTAACACAGTCTGCATTACCGCTCCCTTCTCACACAGGTAACACAGTCTCCGTTACCACTCACCTGTCACACAGGTAACACAGTCTGCATTACCACTCCCCACTCACACAGGTTACACAGCCTGCATTACCACTCCCCTCTCACACAGGTAACACAGTCTGCATTACCATTCACCTGTCACACAGGTAACACAGTCTGCATTACCACTCACCTGTCACACAGGTAACACAGTCTTCATTACCACTCACCTGTCACACAGGTAACACAGTCTGCATTACCACCCCCCTCTCACACAGTTGACACAGTCTGCATTACCACTCCACTCTCACACAGGTAACACAGTCTGCATTACCACTCCCCTCTCACAGGTAACACAGTCTCCATTACCACTCCCCACTCACACAGGTAACACACTCTGCATTACCACTCCCCACTTACACAGGTAACACAGTCTGCATTACCACTCCCCAGTCACACAGGTTACACAGTCTGCATTACCACTCACCTGTCACTCAGGTAACACAGTTTGCATTGCCACCCCCCTCTCACACAGGTAACACAGTCTACATTACCACTCCCCACTCACACAGGTAACACAGTCTACATTAACACTCCCCTCTCATACAGGTAACACAGTCTGCATTACGACTCCCCACTCACACAGGTAACACCGTCTCCATTACCACCCCCCTCTCACACAGGTAACACAGTCTACATTAACACTCCCCTCTCATACAGGTAACACAGTCTGCATTACGACTCCCCACTCACACAGGTAACACAGTCTTCATTACCACCCCCCTCTCACACAGGTAACACAGTCTACATTAACACTCCCCTCTCATACAGGTAACACAGTCTGCATTACGACTCCCCACTCACACAGGTAACACAGTCTCCATTACCACCCCCCTCTCACACAGGTAACACAGTCTACATTAACACTCCCCTCTCATACAGGTAACACAGTCTGCATTACGACTCCCCACTCACACAGGTAACACAGTCTTCATTACCACCCCCCTCTCACACAGGTAACACAGTCTACATTACCACTCCCCACTCACACAAGTAACACAGTCTCCATTACCACTCCCCTCTCACACAGGTAACACAGTCTACATTAACACTCCCCTCTCATACAGGTAACACAGTCTGCATTACCACTCACCCGTCACACAGGTAACACAGTCTTCATTACCATCCCCTCTCACACAGGTAACACAGTCTGCATTACCACTCCCCACTCACACAGGTAACACAGTCTGCATTACCGCTCCCCTCTCACACAGGTAACACAGTCTCCGTTACCACTCACCTGTCACACAGGTAACACAGTCTCCGTTACCACTCACCTGTCACACAGGTAACACAGTCTGCATTACCACTCCCCACTCACACAGGCAACACAGTATGCATTACCACTCCCCTCTCACACAGGTTACACAGCCTGCATTACCACTCCCCTCTCACACAGGTAACACAGTCTGCATTACCATTCACCTGTCACACAGGTAACACAGTCTGCATTACCACTCACCTGTCACACAGGTAACACAGTCTTCATTACCACTCACCTGTCACACAGGTAACACAGTCTGCATTACCACCCCCCTCTCACACAGTTGACACAGTCTGCATTACCACTCCACTCTCACACAGGTAACACAGTCTGCATTACCACTCCCCTCTCACAGGTAACACAGTCTCCATTACCACTCTCCACTCACACAGGTAACACACTCTGCATTACCACTCCCCACTTACACAGGTAACACAGTCTGCATTACCACTCCCCAGTCACACAGGTTACACAGTCTGCATTACCACTCACCTGTCACTCAGGTAACACAGTTTGCATTGCCACCCCCCTCTCACACAGGTAACACAGTCTACATTACCACTCCCCACTCACAGGTAACACAGTCTGCATTACCACTCACCTGTCACACAGTTAACACAGTTTGCATTGCCACCCCCCTCTCACACAGGTAACACAGTCTACATTACCACTCCCCACTCACATAGGTAACACAGTCTCCATTACCACTCCCCTCTCATACAGGTAACACAGTCTACATTAACACTCCCCTCTCATACAGATAACACAGTCTGCATTACGACTCCCCACTCACACAGGTAACACAGTCTCCATTACCACCCCCCTCTCACACAGGTAACACAGTCTACATTAACACTCCCCTCTCATACAGGTAACACAGTCTGCATTACGACTCCCCACTCACACAGGTAACACAGTCTCCATTACCACTCCCCTCTCACCCAGGTTACACAGTCTGCATTACCACTCCCCTGTCACACAGGTAACACAGTCTGCATTACCACTCCCCTCTCACACAGGTAACACTGTCTGCATTACCACTCCCCACTCACACAGGTAACACAGTCTGCATTACCACTCCCCTCTCACACAGGTAACACAGTCTGCATTACCACTCCCTTGTCACACAGGTAACACAGTCTGCATTACCACTCCCCTGTCACACAGGTAACACAGTCTGCATTATCACTCACCTGTCACACAGGTAACACAGTCTACATTACCACTCCCCTCTCACACAGGTAACAGAGTTTGCATTTTCACTCACCTGTCACACAGGTAACACAGTCTGTATTACCACTCCCCTGTCACACAGGTAACACAGTCTGCATTACCACTCACCTGTCACACAGGTAACACAGTCTTCATTACCACTCACCTGTCACACAGGTAACACAGTCTGCATTACCACCCCCCTCTCACACAGTTGACACAGTCTGCATTACCACTCCACTCTCACACAGGTGACACAGTCTGCATTACCACTCCCCTCTCACAGGTAACACAGTCTCCATTACCACTCCCCACTCACACAGGTAACACACTCTGCATTACCACTCCCCACTTACACAGGTAACACAGTCTGCATTACCACTCCCCAGTCACACAGGTAACACAGTCTCCATTACCACTCCCCACTCACACAGGTAACACACTCTGCATTACCACTCCCCACTTACACAGGTAACACAGTCTCCATTACCACTCCCCACTCACACAGGTAACACACTCTGCATTACCACTCCCCACTTACACAGGTAAAACAGTCTGCATTACCACTCCCCACTCACACAGGTAACACACTCTGCATTACCACTCCCCACTTACACAGGTAACACAGTCTCCATTACCACTCCCCACTCACACAGGTAACACACTCTGCATTACCACTCCCCACTTACACAGGTAACACAGTCTGCATTACCACTCCCCAGTCACACAGGTTACACAGTCTGCATTAGCACTCACCTGTCACACAGGTAACACAGTCTACATTAACACTCCCCTCTCATACAGGTAACACAGTCTGCATTACGACTCCCCACTCACACAGGTAACACAGTCTCCATTACCACTCCCCTCTCACCCAGGTTACACAGTCTGCATTACCACTCCCCTGTCACACAGGTAACACAGTCTGCATTACCACTCCCCTCTCACACAGGTAACACTGTCTGCATTACCACTCCCCACTCACACAGGTAACACAGTCTGCATTACCACTCCCCTCTCACACAGGTAACACAGTCTGCATTACCACTCCCTTGTGACACAGGTAACACAGTCTGCATTACCACTCCCCTGTCACACAGGTAACACAGTCTGCATTATCACTCACCTGTCACACAGGTAACACAGTCTGCATTACCACTCCCCTGTCACACAGGTAACACAGTCTGCATTATCACTCACCTGTCACACATGTAACACAGTCTGTATTACCACTCCCCTGTCACACAGGTAACACAGTCTACATTACCACTCCCCACACACAGGTAACACAGTCTAAATTACCACTCCCCTCTCACAGGTAACACAGTCTCCATTGCCACTCCCCTCTCACACAGGTACCACAGTCTGCATTATCACTCACCTGTCACACAGGTTACACAGTCTACATTACTACTCCCCTCTAACACAGGTAACACAGTCTGCATTACCACTCCCCACTCACACAAGGTAACACAGTCTGCATTACCACTCCCCTGTCACACAGGTAACACAGTCTCCATTACCACTCCCCTCTCACCCAGGTTACACAGTCTGCATTACCACTCCCCTGTCACACAGGTAACACAGTCTGCATTATCACTCACCTGTCACACAGGTAACACCGTCTGTATTACCACTCCCCTGTCACACAGGTAACACAGTCTGCATTGCCACTCCCCTCTCACACAGGTAACACAGTCTGCATTATCACTCACCTGCCACACAGGTAACCCAGTCTGCATTACCACTCCCTTCTCACACAGGTTACACAGTCTGCATTACCACTCCCCTGTCACAAAGGTAACACAGTCTGCATTACCACTCCCCACTCACACAGGGAACACAGTCTGTATTACCACCCCCCTCTCACACGGGTAACACAGTCTACATTAACACTCCCCTCTCACACAGGTAACACAGTCTGCATTACCACTCCCCACTCACACAGGTAACACAGTCTCCATTACCACTCCCCTCTCACCCAGGTTACACAGTCTGCATTACCACTCCCCTGTCACACAGGTAACACAGTCTGCATTACCACTCCCCTCTCACACAGGTAACACTGTCTGCATTACCACTCCCCACTCACACAGGTAACACAGTCTCCATTACCACTCCCCACTCACACAGGTAACACACTCTGCATTACCACTCCCCACTTACACAGGTAACACAGTCTGCATTACCACTCCCCAGTCACACAGGTTACACAGTCTGCATTAGCACTCACCTGTCACACAGGTAACACAGTCTACATTAACACTCCCCTCTCATACAGGTAACACAGTCTGCATTA